TTTGATTGAATGTGCACCTATTTATAGGTCCATCAATGTTTTTGCGTAAGTAAATGAAGTTCAATTGAAGGGGTTATATTTTTTAGGAGTGATTAATTTTTGGGAAAGAAAGTTTTTGGCTTTCTACTACTCCATCTTGATACAAAAAAAAAGAAGAAGGATGAGGGAGTCTACTCTATACATGAGTAGTAGAAAGCCAAAAACTTTCTTTCCCAAAAAATAAATAAAGTTATTGAATCATTTCGCAATTAGGAACTATACCGATTTGTGGAATCTCCAAGATCATTTACAAATCAACAGATACATTTTACGTTTGTTTGAAGGTGGTTGACACAAGGAAGAGAAGCCGCCACAACCAGCAATTGTACATCCCTACATCAGAGGATTATCAAAAAGGATAAAAAGGATTGGGTCCAAGTACAACATCAGGACCTGCTTCAGATCTGGGAACACTATTCGTAGCAGCCTTACAGAAACCAGGCCACCAAACGCGGATGCGATTCCAAGAATTGCATTTACCGGGTACCCTGCGAGTGCGGAGAATCATACATCGGTGAAACTAGGAGGCTATTGAAAGTTCGCATTGCTGAGCACAAGAAACACCCATCGAGGAGAAACCAGCAAATCTGGAATAGCAGAGCACGTTTGGACTCATCAACATAACATCAAGTGGGCTCAAGCTGAAATCATCCACGAAGAGGAACAGTGGTTTAGGAGAAAATTCAAAGAAGCCGCGTATATTTTGTCCAACAACGCATTTAGTCAAGCTAGCGTAGAGATACGTAACATATGGAAACCTCTAATCAAGCAAAAAAGACCAATCCCCGCCAAATGGTCATCTCCCGCTAAAAATCAATGAAGCGGAAAAAGTAAAGGGGTGATAGGTGAAAGCATTCGAGCGACCTATAAATAGTCAGATCTCGGAGGAATAAGTCCACCCAAAGATGACTGTGGATACTAACAATCGAAACGTCGTGTTTGGTTGTTGCTTGTTTTGTTATTTCTTTTTAATTTCAGTTTTTTGTTTAATAAAATTGTTATTTTCGGTCAATCTTATCAATTTTTTAATTGTTTTTTCAGGGTTTTCAAATCAATTTATATTATATTAGACAATGGAAGTCCGAACTGATGAAATACAAATAAATTTTAGATAAAGCCGCTTGGATCACATAGAAACTTTCAAAATAACTATACTTTGTATCGGGAGGACGAAAACTTCAGGTCTCACTAAAACTACGTAGACAGGAGGGGAAGGATTCCGATCGAAGGTTCCAATTGATTTGCAACAATTTCGTCGCTGGTCGCGGGTTATTCAAATGAACGAGGAAACGACGCCTAAAAGGACTGCAAAGTAAGTCAATTTACGGAAACGCGAGATCTTTTATAGGTGAAATACGGCGTTGCCACATTCTTCATTTTGAAGGAACTAAAAATTCAACAATATACGTTGATGTAAATGCACGGATAACAGCTGCTGTTTCATCATTTTCCAAACAGAGGCGACACACACTGTCTTCCGACAGTCGAGTTTCTGCATATGATGATTCAAATGACAGTGACCTGTAAGAAGGCCTGTTAGACAAGAACTACGCCTTGGAGTGAACCAATCTTGGCAGATTCTGCCTAAAGTCCACAAATCTTCTTGCCATTCAGGTGTTCACTTTTTGTTTGGCAAAGCCTAAAGCGATACCAATGACAGGTTCCGGCCCGATGAAACTGCTTGCAGCCCCCTTCTCTGCAAGAGAGTCAGCAGCCTCATTGCCTTCCAGACCAGTATGGCCAGAAATCCAGACCACAGACAATGTGTTAAGTCTTAGAGGAGAGTCGTTTTTGACAATTTGCTACCAATTTAGACGTTGCTCAGTAGGATCCAAGAGCTTCCAAATCCCCCCTGTACGAGAATATTTTTAGTGACTTGTATATGAGTTTGGATTCTTCCAATCTCTCCTTCTCCCGGAAGATCAAGTCTTCTGTACTATATAAAGCAATTCGTAGTTGACAGTTGGATACATAAAGTCAGAGGTCATTTCCAGAATGCTGTGACTTCCAGTGTCAACCAACAGTCTGTTGCACTCTGCATTCAATTGATTTGTGCAATTGGCAATGTGCACAAGTCTATATGCCTCTCTCTCCAGAAAAATGTGGAGATGAGGTAGTTCCAGAAGGATCTACATGGACGCTGACGGTGTGGTACTGATGACACCACTGATGGCCAGATAAGCCTGTTTGCTGTAAAGCATTTGGCCACCAGGCAATTGCACCATAAGTGCAATTATGTGATTATTGTTCTGACAATCATCACATAAATCCAATGGAGTGAAAAACATAAAGCCAATATGATCCATCCAAATATTTTTTATCACAACGCAAAAATCGCTGGAATCAAATAAAAATATAAAGTATCTGTCATGAAATGAAAGTATCATTTTACGAGTTTTCATTAGCAAAAGTGACATTCCGGAAAACCTCAAAAATCAGCACTCTATTACCTACTTAAATCTCAATCATTCAACGAATGTTACCGGTAAGTTGGTAGTCATGCATTTCATACATATCAATATTGCGCTCCCGTCGAAGTTATCGATGCACAATGTGGCAACTCGGTTATCCCACTTCTGATCCAACATCGACACACCAGCACCGATATCGATGACGCCGAGCCGCGTCCTTCCATGCTACCAACTTCTGCTTAGATTGCTTATTCGAAAGCACCTATGCCCTCATACTCGATACTCATGAATATGAACCGAGTACCGGAGGTAAGGAAATGCTGCGATTTTAATTCGATAAACTCGACGTGGAGTACGCCGGTATTGCGAGAAAACGAACATGACGCTTTGCAGTTTGAGGATTTGCGAAATAATTTCCAATCAATTATTCAAGGAGGAATGACGCAAGATCGATAGGGAGGGTTTTATCGCGAGATATGAAATAGTTCTAATCATCATGTTAACAGAGTTCTAGACAAGACAGCGGTCGTCAGAGAAACTTCGAACACTCTTCAAGTAGTGTCAAAGCTATTTTTCGGAATCGTTGGCCGAGGTCTGCAAGTTTTATGTCTAACGTTTCATTGAAGAATGCGGTAGACATGGTCAAAGACGATGAGGTAGCGGACGAAGTTTTCTATTTGTCGTCAGAGCAGAAACAATCGCCTTCTGGAATATACTATAAGAAAGATTCTGTAAAAACTTATCAGATCAACTAAATTCATCAGAGAGGGTCTAAGGTCAGCTGAGGACCCCAGAGCAACATTAGGGTCAATCATATCCTGTGTAGCTGTAGTTCGGTCTGCATTGGAACCACGAAGACAAGTCTAGCTGGTCTGAACTCTCTGAAGTCTCTGAACTCAAGAGAAAATGCAACCCCTCCGACCAATCAGTAGGATAGAGAAACATGCACTTAGAAAAGATACCCACGTTATCACATTTGAAGTGACCCAAGTCCCCGATCGAACTAAGAGCTACTATCCAAGGTCATATAGGAGAACGATAGAAATTCTCAGAAACACAGGAACCATTCTATCTGCGAGGAAAAGGAAATTAACATCGAAAAAAATTTGGCTACCTGCACTCAAAAGCACACTTATCACGTCATTCAATTCAACCAATAGGAATGAAGGTTCTGCCACTACCAATTCAGTGAAACTAGAGACCCAAACTAATGATACATCTACTTGGAGAAGAACTAAAGCACTTCGTCCGTTGCTTCATCGCCTACGATAATGCCGAAGTCGAAAAAAAAAATAACAAGAATAAAAATCCTGCAAACCACGGCCAACAAATTCGGAAAATAGTTTTGACAAAGTAATCTCCGGTCATGAAAGTCTACACCATTTTATCACTTGTCAGGTTCAAAATTTTAGCTATTGAACATTTTGACTATTATTTTTGTTATACAACTTTGGATTATTCATGATTTCGAGAAAGAAAAACTTGCAGTACGAAAAAAGTAAGTATTACTGGTATATGACAAGTTAGGAATTGCTTCTGGAAAAACTGAAATAACATCAGTTAATTTCTAACCTTGGAAATGATAGAAAACATGGCAACAATGAAATATGAAATCAAAGCAAAAATTCTAAAAATTGTATAAATTTCTGAAAGGAAGTTACTGAAATAGTAAAAATGCTATTTAGTATCACTCTAGTAAGCTTGATATGCAGAAAATAAAAGATAAACACATCGAAAAAGTTCGTGCTGATAGGTAAAATTGCAAGCTCTGGCGTTGAATGAAAATATTAAAAACCATTTTCCACGAAAATACTCTCTTGTCGAGCGTTTCGCTTGCCAAGTTCACATCATCAGGAGGTGATATGCGTTGAGAAACAGTATTTTTTTCTGGTGTGAGTGAAGTATTCAATAGATTTTGGACGTCTATTCATATATAGAAATACAATTGAACATAAATTGGATATTACAGGATATCTGAGTAAATTGTATACTTATAAATGCGAAAGTCACACACTCAACACTCACTCATTCATCTCGGTTTCTCCCTAGTGGTAAGTCCTAGGAAGCTAAAATTCAGTATTATAGATGCTTCTTAGGTCTTAGATGCGCAGTAGGAAAGGATTTTTTAATATTTCAACTGAGGCGCCACCCCTGGGGATAGAAGGGTCGAATGTACATATAAAAATTACCTTTTCATCACTGTTTCTCCGTACCGCTATATTTTCGGAGGCTGAAATTTTATATGTAGGTTATTTTTATGTTGTAGATGAGCAATAAGAGAGGATATTAATAATTCCAACTGGGGCTCCAGCCGTGGAGAAAAAGGCGCGTCCATAAAACAAAGTTTTCTTTTCATTACTGTTTCTCCATATCCTTAAATTTCCGATGGGTGAATTTATTTTTAGTATCAGCATTGCACCCGTGCGGAGCCAGGACGGGTCGCTAGTTCCTAATAACCCTTGATGAGTAATTCTCTCTGTGTAATTTCGTCCATTCAAAGACTAGTCTAATGAAGCAAACATTGATTTCAAAGTAACATCTACGACTCACCTGGATACTTCCTCTTGTGTTCCATATCAACAGCCCGAGCCTTGTCAAAATATTTCATCTTCTCCTCTGGGTTCAAATTTTTCCAAGTGCTCCCCAACTTCTTGCTGATTTCCTTGTTGGAATCCGCTGGAAACTGTTGCGACATGATCTTCCTGTTCTCATTGGCGTAAATCATGAACGCATTCGGAGGTCGGGGAATTCTCGGTTTCAAGGAAATCTGTTTGTTGTATTCGGCAACTCTTTCTTCTGTCTCTGAAAAAGGAAAATTAAAAAATATCGTGAACATTCCACCCGATCTACAGAAAATGGGGAATGCGTGGGAACAAAACTCCATGGGATTTTTTCACTCAATTACGGTGTTGCTATTTTTCCAATCTGAATGTATCGATAACTTTTGAACTATAAGAAAGCATTTCCTATAAACCAATAAAATGATGAAAAAATTGAAGACTAGGCCAGTGGCGGATTTAGAAATTTTCAAAGTGTAGGCTGTACAATTTTTGCCGCCCTTGTCTCTACAATTGTCATCCCCTACATTATTTTGAGAATCCAACAATTTCTTTGAAATTTTAGGTATATTGGGTATATTTTGAGCTAATTAAAGATCAACCATTTACGAGCGCGTATGATGAATACATTTTTTTATTGCGCTTTCGAATAGTTGAGTTGCAATGTTCGTTGCAATATTTTTTGTTGGCAAAATTATCGATGATATCGTTTTAAGTAATCTTGTTCATAAATTCTGACTCTATGCAACAAAGAGCAAAGGCGTTCCGTTTTCCTTAGCTCAAGGTCGTAATTTTTTACCCTTTTCAGACAAGAAAAACTTCCCTCACTCAAATAATTCTTGAGGGGAGGCTAGTCATCGGCAACATTTGTTGCAGACTTCTATCTGTAAGACATAAGAAAACCGTCATGCCAAAATCTTCTTGGTTTCCACTGGACTAGGCCACCAAAACAGAGTTTTACAGCGATGTTACGCTTATTCCCAACAACAATAAAACTGACAGCTATGAAATTGATATCTAGCTGTCATTATTCTTGAATCATACATGACTCTCACAATTTCAGTCATTGTCACTGTCCTGATAAAGTTGAACCAAAGGAATCGAGTATTCAAACATAAATAATATTGAAACTTTCCATGAATGCGAGTACAGAAATTCACAGGTTACATTTATATTATGATTATGATAGTAACATGGAGGCTAAAACCAGACATAGTATATTGGCTATACAGGATGGTGGTTAAACCCATGATAACATACGTATCTCTGGTCTGGTGGCCAAAGATGAAGCAGGCGAACGCCAGCAACAAACTAGGCAAGGTGCAAAAACTTGCATGTTTGGGAATGACGGTAGCAATGAGAACTACCCCAACAGATACATTGGAGACACTAATGAATCTACCTCCTTTACACTTTGTGATAATGGGGGAGGCCAGGATGGGCCAATTCAGGCTGGAAAACTCACCGAACTACAAAAGATCGGACCGAACAGAAATTTCGGAACATGTGGAGGAGTGGAGTAGCACATATTGAATATGTGCACGGACCACATGACTCCGAAATACACCTTTAACACAACAAACTTCACGGCCAAAACCATAAGCCGTAAAGAGTGGACGACCATTAGTCGTTCCGAAAACATGTTTGGAAAAAACACCTGGTATACAGATGGATCGAAGACCAAACATGGAACGAGAGCTGAAATATACCGAGCGGATAAAAATTTAAACTATAGTTATCCGCTAGGACTATACACATCCGTCTTTCAGGCGGAAGTGTATGCTATCTTGCAGTGTGCAAGGCTTATTAAATTGAGAACCTCGAAGAACTGAGCGAATCAATATTTTAACAGACAGCAAGAGCGCACTAGGGGCTCTGACAAACCCGAAGGTGACATCAAAACTGGTCTGGGAATAACATGAAGAACTGAATGAACTTGCAAACCGGAACAAATTAACTTTGTACTGGGTGCCAGGGCATTCAGAAATCACAGGTAATGATAAAGCTGATCAATGCGCTAGACACGGATCATCAACTTCATATATAGGTCCTGAACCAGCTCTGGGGGTACCAAAATCATTGGTACGAAACCAGATTAGGACATGGACCAATAAGAAGCATAAGGTCCAGAGTACTGGACCAAAGTACCTGGCAACAAACACAGTAGAACCTTCATTAGGGAACCGTCCGAGAAAAGAACCGAAGAAATACTTCAATATAGTAGGGATCGGCTTGGAATAATTTCAGGGTTACTAACCGATTATTGTCTGCTTAGAGGACACCTAAATAAAATGGGGCTGTACAACGGAGACCTCAGCTGCAGATTATGCAACGAAGGGATAAAAACAGCTCTACACATCTTATGCGAATATGAGGCACTGAGTCACAGGAGGCAGGCAATATATGGACGTACGAAATTACTTCCAGAAGAATATGACGAACAACCAACACGGAGCCTGTACAAACTAGTACAGGGAACGAGACTGATGGAATAAGTGTTATGAGAAGATGGGAGAATAAACGCAATAAGCCCAAGAGGCTGCAGTGTTTTCTGGAGACCTGGACTAAATGGACAAGTCAGACAGCTTCCAAGGGACCAAAAAAAAATTATAGTAACTAGATCCTAACTCTACTGAGACAACTCAAATGAATAGGTATATGTGCACCTTATGTTAAATGCCTGAATCAATTTTAGAAAAGTATAATTCTCAATCAATTATCAGCCATCTTCCCTGATAATTAACTGACACCTTTCCAATATGTATCTAACTCTGTAACATTTTCAATTACAACTTTTGTATTAAATTTCGAACTAGAAAGTGAAACTAAACGAAAAGATTCATTTTATCAAATGTTCGATCGAAGCACCCTCAACATGCATACAATAGTATAAACGAGCTTCTGTTTCCTCCCTTACACACTGAAAAATATCAGGTGTAAGTAGTCCTAGTAATTTCTTCTCGTAAATTATATACAGTAGTAGGCTGCGTCTCGTAGATTTTTTAATTAAATCGCCCCCTTGGGAAAAATCCATTGAAGTCAAATCGAAGGATCTTGGGGGTCGTTCAATAGAATTTCTCCTTGCAATTAATCGATACGACAATTACTTGCTCATTTAGATTAAAGACTGTCACCCACAAAACATGTTATTACGGTGGATTACTGTTGGGACATTCTGAGAGGATCTCACAAAATTCATCCCTTCTGTCGTTATCATCTTCGTTCAATTCTCTAATCATTTCCAGCATTCCTTGATGATGAGTTTACGATGGGTTGAAAGAATTTCTACAGAATGGCCACCCAGATCCCCTGATTTGACTACACTGGACTTTTTTCAATTGAGATGGTTCAAATCAAGTCTACGAGATGCAGCCTAATACTGTAAATAATTCACGAGAAGAAAATGTCGGGAAATGTTGGCTTATATAAATTAATATTCTTCTGGAAGTTGAGAAGGAAACTGTAGAAAACGTGGACTCGTTAATTCCATTGTATGCAAGTTAATGGTGCCATGGTTCGGACAATTGAAAAAATGAATTTTTATGTTCAGTTTCACTTTCTGAATCAAAATTAAATCTGAAATTTAAAAAAAAATGCTTATCTTTGTGATGTTTCAAATGTTACTTTCACATAAGGTTTTACTCGACTACTATGTCCATTTGAAACGTTTGACCCGACGGTTGTTGTAGGGAGGGGGTGGGTGACAAAAGCAGTTGACTAGAAATGCGTCCCATTGAAAACTAAACTTGACATGTTTCACGGTTTATTACACATACATTATCAAATGAGTTTTTCATGGTGGTCGCGAGGAATTACAACAATAATCACCAAGGTCGCCCGACTTCAACCACCTAGATTATTTTCTGTGAGCCATCATAAAACTCCTGTTCATACAGAGCCAACGGACCTCAAAAATTAACCAGCTGTCGCCCCGCTACGAACGACAACTCTCAAAAGTAGAATCTTGTGCAAGCTAAAAATTAACGAGTTCTTACTTATTGGCGTACAATTCCCATTGAGAAACATTTACATGTTCAATAATTTCTAAAGTTCGAAAAAAACTACATACAAATTCCATTGCAAGTTGAAGTTCTTACAATAGCAAAACATCTGAAATCGAGGGCGGAAACAGCAGAAAGTTTACGATAATTCTTGTTGACAAAATATGAACCATAATCACACTGAAACTCAGAATTAAGAGAGATAACGATTGAAAAATTGAGGGGTGTTTGAGTGAAATGAACCTATAATCATCTCTTGTGTATCATGATTTGTGGTCCCACAAACTTGACTAGCTACATATTTTTTTCCAATGTACAGGTAATTATTGGAGAAATTTCATTTCTGTTTTCACTATTTGAATTATCTTCTCTATTATTGAAGTTGATAATTAAACTAGCCAGTATTTTTTTTAACAGAACAAGTTATAAGTAGGTACATAAACATAAAAGCTACTAATAACAACATGAGTTTTCAGTGTCTAGTTAGGCAAATGCAGCAAATTATGAAAATGAAAATAAATACCTTTTCACATTTATAAAGTAAAACTAGTATCCATTTCGTCCAATTCTCAAAGAATTCTTCATTGAAGTAGGTAAACCTCAACTTCAATATTTGACAATCAAATAAAGTGCAGAAGATGGGGAATGAAACAAGTGAGGATCGAAGATAAAGATTACACATAGTGGCCTCCTAGATTATATTGAATTTTTGTATAATGTACAATATTGCATTGAAAATATTACATAATTACTTACCATTCAGGAAAATAATTCTTATACGGTATAATTTTGTCCGAGCCATTTTGAATCAAATTCAGATTTAGAAAATTTTCTCTTTTCATGTTGGCAAAAGAGACCCAAACAACCATAGAATAGCTATCTGCAGAAGAACACTACACATCGACAGGATCGCTAAGCTCCTCAATTGTGGCTGTCATCTTGCTAAATCATCGAGATGGTGACGTCACAGCGATGACTTCGTTTGAAACCCGTTTAAATACATAGGAATTATTGAAATTCAAATGTACATAACTTTTATATCGATTTCATTGATATGTTCTTTAGTTTTTGTCGAGTCTTATCGTCAAGTATTTCAATCATCAGTATCTTGTTAAGGTACACATGTTTTAGGTTTAGGTATATCCACAAAAGTCTCAAAATGTAATATTGGATAATCTTGAAAGTAAATGAAAATTTTCAAATTGGGAAATAAGGTTACTGTATTAATTGTTTCAGAAGTTGTTCGAAATTATATGAACTAAAATTGAAAAGTTTTTCAGTTTATAGTATTACTAATTTCACAATTATCATCTATAACGAAAAACACACAATATAAAGAATAAATGTGCAAATTTGAAATTTGCCCACATTAATATTTATGTTCAACATGATTTTTTTGATTGTATAAATCAATAGTTGGTTTCTCATACTCTGATATAGAAATATATCTTATAACTTCGTTCTACAGTATTTTCAGAGGCATAAATAAAGAATGCGATGCTGCTTCCCAAACTGATATCGAATACTGTAGACATAAATACATTTTTAAAAACTTTTTTTTCAAGTATTTCAATTATGAGAGATATTTGTTTGTGTTACATTTCAGTATGTTCACACCGCGAAGAATTTTCGTCTATGTGAAGCCCTAAAAACTTGGCAGATGTTTGACATATACAGGTAACCGGGGTAACAGTCCATTGTGGGATTTTCACTGGACAGTTTACAAAACCGCAACAGCCGCAACATGTGTTTCGCTATACGATAGCTTTCTTAAAAGATTTCATACTTATAGATAAACATTTTTTCTGATGTGATGCACTGTTTGGGACCTGTAACATTTTCAATTACAACTTTTGTATTAAATTTCGAACTAGAAAGTGAAACTAAACGAAAAAATTCATTTCATCAAATGTTCGATCTAAGCACCCTTAACATGCATACAATAGTATAAACGAGCTTCTGTTTTCTCCCTTACACACTGAAAAATATCAGGTGTAAGTAGTCCTAGTAATTTCTTCACATAAATTATATACAGTAGTTGGCTGCGTCTCGTAGATTGTCACCCACAAAACATGTTATTATGGTGGATTACTGTTGGGACATTCTGAGAGGATCTCACAAAATTCATCCCTTCTGTCGTTATCATCTTCGTTCAATTCTCTAATCATTTCCAGCATTCCTTGATGATGAGTTTACGATGGGTTGAAAGAATTTCTACAGAATGGCCACCCAGATCCCCTGATTTGACTACACTGGACTTTTTTCAATTGAGATGGTTCAAATCAAGTCTACGAGATGCAGCCTAATACTGTAAATAATTCACGAGAAGAAAATGTCGGGAAATGTTGGCTTATATAAATTAATATTCTTCTGGAAGTTGAGAAGGAAACTGTNCTTAAAAGATTTCATACTTATAGATAAACATTTTTTCTGATGTGATGCACTGTTTGGGACCTTTAGTGTAAACAAGAATGGCTATTTTTCATACTTTAATGATAATTGATATTTTAGCTATGATAAAATTTTATCAGGATCACAAAGCACTTCACATATCATTTTGGAACCAACCGTTTACAGAACATGCGATACCTACATTGTATAATATATTCATAAGAATTTTATGATATAGGTACCATATCAAATGATTTTCTAAGTAGTGAAAATTATGAGGTTATTTCGTATGTAACATACTGCTTCTATAAATTTGATGAAGTGAATATGTGCGCATAGATAAAATATATGAATAAATGCATTCTGTGTGTGTGTTCACGTCCCCGAAATAGTTAAGGAACGTAATGTGACTCACTCAACCGTGGCTCACTAACATTTCGAATAGATCAATGAATCCATCCGATCAAAATGCATCGAAAGCCTAGTATTTTCAACCGATTCGCGTTTATTTTGTGAAAAACTCTACACGTGTTTATAGATGGTGCAAGAATCGAAATCTGTCTATCTTCAACTCATGGACCATAATGTAAAAAATTCTTTAACACATGCTAACATGGCATTGTCAACCACTAGAGGTGTGCTCAACACTTATGTGACCGGAATGCTGAAATTTATTGGATCTCTCTATAATTTTTTTCAAAGAGTGTCGTAGGTCGAGAGTTTTTGATAAATTGGTCACGGAAAAGCGGTCCAAGTGACCACACCGTCACCGATGTATTCAATAGCGATTTTCATTGGTAAAACCTTCGGTGTATCTCTGTCCTGTATTTCTTGATACATCAATAAAAAATAAATGCACTAGCTGTAGCAATGGAAAGCGCTATAAGAAGTCTCCAAATATGCATTTGTCATTAGTCAATTATGACAGTAAAATTAACCAAGAAAATTATGTGGCAAAACACGAATGAAAACAGTCATAGGTAATTCATAATTTTCCTAGGTGGATTTTATAAGATTCCAGTTTATGTACTTTTTGAATTTGGATGCTAAATTAAAAGCATGTCGAAGGATACTTTTTATCACTGTGGAATAAATGATTCTTAAATTCTTGAACGGCAACTTAAACAGGAAAGTGAACTCTGTTAATCTTGCATATTCATTCTGTTTTCACTTATCTCTTGGAAATTTTCAAAGTATGCTTTTTTTTTAAGGTGGATTCATGCACCCAGTCTTAAGTCACAGGTCTTAAGAAATTGTAACTAGATGGATTCATTGTTTTCAGAGGCAATATTCATGTACAAGCATATATTTTCTTATATATGTATAAAGTATCGATATGCAAGAGGGGTGTTTCCAGTAGTGATAAATAAATAACATGAATTTTTGTGACTAAAATGGACACATATGACTTGAAATTGGTGCATGAATCCCGAATTGCTCTAAGTGAATTTGGAGATCTGTTTTTTAACTCATTTACTTTGCTTAAAACAACACCATTGGTATCTTTTATATAATTATGGCTTTCAAAGAATTACAATTTTCAAATGATATGGAACTGTTCTTGTTGATCATTTGAATGTACAAATGATAATTTTTGTCAAAAATTTCAACTGTTCCTTGAAAACTTCGTAAGTATTAAACTGATCACTTACCTTTCTTAATGCAGCAATTCATCAAGTTGTCAGGCATATGAGTAATTTTTCTAATCAGAATTGTTGAAAACTGACCAAGAATTGACTTTTTATATGTTCAACACAAAAGCATTTGTTATGAAACAAATGTTGATTGTCACTTGGTTGTTATAGTATTTTTAGTTAGACTCGAAAATAAATTTCAGTTAGACTATTCCTCGAAAAAGCTTGACGCCTGAAAAACTCAATGGGTGAATTGAAATATCGATAAAACTTCAACTGCATGACTTATAATTAAAACAAACACATTTGTGAGACTCTGTAACACATATATTGTCATTTACAAAATTTCTGTACGTTACAAATTTCGTTGTACAAGTCAGTAGAGGCACAAGTTATATTTTTCCTGGGTTTTTATTATATGCCCTTGCCTCATTTCTTTGTTTCGTTCTTGTTGATCAACATCCTTCTTCAAAGGCTCCTTTGACTCATAAACGACATCATTTTCATGGAAATAAACTACAAATACCTCATTGGTAAACACAACAGATTTACTATTCTTTGGGAAATATTTATATTTATAGGAGTGCTCTTCTTCTACTGTTTCAAAGTCTTCAATGTTGTTTTCCACTTTTTCATTTGGCTTTGTCAAACAAGACTTTCCCTCAAGGGGAATTGACGAACTTTCTTGTTTAGGTATTTCTGTAGTTGGGTTTTTCTTTTTCTTCCTACTGAACTCTTTCCTATTTTTTCTCCCTCTTTTATCGAAAGGATCCCAAAACAAAGTTTTTGCTGTCTTGGAAGTATCAGGGGATGACTTGGGTGATTCAGGGGCATTCTTCGATAATGATTTAGGTACGGAAGAACTACACCTTGGCCTCCAGTCCTCGCTAGGTGTGTTCCTTTCATGTAAGCTTTCTAAACTGTCTCTGGCACGTGTAAGGTTTGAATGAGGTAAATTTTCCATAGATTCGTTTTCAAAATCTTGGTGTCTTGTTGAATCGGGCAACCTGGTTTCTACCTGAATTGGTTCATTGAGGAAATATTTATCCCTACTACTCCACGACCGTACTTTGTTTACGATTTTCTCTTTGAAACCTTTGCTTGAAATTTTCAACCTATTTTCCGAAGAACTGCATTGGAAAGTGTTGATTTTGGGTTTCTCTTGGACCTTTATGGGTTTAACTACTAAACTAGACGTGACTAGGTCTGAAATTACATTTACAGGTTTTTTAGACATTTTATGTAATTTTGAAAGTGTCAAATTGGCAAAACGAAATGTCTTGGCTGACATCAGCAAGCAATTTTCAGGAATTTTCTTAGTCAGGGAGCAATATTTGCAAATTTTAGATTGATTTGTTTCTTTAACTTGTGAGAAAATTTTCTTGTTTTCAGTTGGTCAAAGATACAAAATTTGCTAAAATCTAAAAACAAAAACCTTAAAAGGTACTTAACATACATATTTTGAAGATTTCCGAAAAGGTTTCGTTAGAAGAATTGCTGAATCCTATAGTAGCAATGGTAAAAAGGAACTCTTTGGATTCTTTCATAGTCAGTTTTCAAATGGCGTACAGTAATAAATCTCTCGAAACGAATAATTCCAGCAGGGTGCTCTTTTAAGATTTGTCTAATTATTGTTTTTTCCAAGAATGACGTTTGTGATAAAATTTATCAGAAAAGTTGTTTTATATCTTGCAACCCCTAATATAAAGATAATAAATTAGTTATGCTGCGTTTTTGTATACTTTTTTATTTCTCATCCAATTCTTTCTGAATTTATTTCAAATCAATTATAAAGATGAAAGATATTTGATATCATCCCCTAATACATAGGTAATGGAATTGGCCGATACTTGATGAAAATCCATAAAATATTTGACTGACCGTCGTTGCCAAGACTAACCTAACCTTCGTCAACCAATATATCACTGATGATGTCTTCCACAGTGGCAGCCGAAACGTTTGGTACTACAAGTCTCATTGGAAGTTGCATTTAATTGAAATTCAGTATGCTTGTACTCATTAAAAAAGATACATAAACATTTTTTAATCAATAGTGTCGTACTAGGGACATTTTATAAGAATAATTTTTGAAAATGAAGAAAAAATCTTATGGCATTGCTTTAAGGCAACTAAGGGAACAAAAGGGTTATAGTGGTAAAATCAATAAATGGAAAATCAGAATTATTTCTCAAGTTATGTATGTAGTTTAATGTAATAAATTAGCTTTATTTTGCTTGCTTCAAGATTTTATATTTTTAAATCAAATTTGAATTCTCAATATATTTGGTGATATCCAGAAAAAATATTCACAATGAATATAAGAACAGAAATGAAGTCAGCAAGTAATACCTTTGAATAAACACATAAGCTATAAAACAATTAAATTCCAATTCATAACAAAATATCACATTTTTTTCCTTATCACTGAGAAAACTATTAACCAAACCAATGACTTCCCATGCAATCTCTCGTCCAGGGAGTTTGACATACCCAACACCAGTGAAATGCACATCCAGCTCGGGTGCAAACCATATGCATACAGCCACCTGTGATATTAAAAAATAGTGTGAAATGGTGGAAATGTTCGAAAAATCAGTAAGTCAGTAAAGCTGTTCACTATCAAGTTTTAATTATCTGTAATCTTCAGTCAGTTGATGCTATAAATAAGTTAGATAATATTTTAACGAAAAAATGTTTTAATAAATTTTACTGCAGATGAAAGTTTTTAAGGTAAAATATTGAACATTGTTTCAACAAACTGAGTATTGTATTCAACAAGTATTGAACACAACACTAGAGTTTAACCGAAATTCAAAATGTGCAAAAAAATCTTGCAAATAACTATAGACCAGTTGCTTCACTTATTAGTGATATTGAAAATCGAGAAAAAAATTTAAATCAACTTGAGCAAAATTAATACGAGTATGATTTCTGTAAATAAAGATAAACCAAGAACTTTCTTTTATGTGACCCATCTTTGGAGTAATGCAATTGAGAATTACAGTCACAGTTTGTTTTTGATATTTCAAAGGCATCTAACCCATGTTTTACTAATCATTTAATGTAATGATTGACCAGATCATTTTTGTTTGTGGCTATCTTAAAAATCGTTCCTTACAAGTAACCATTGTCGGTTATCTTTTGGATACCTTTACCACAAGGTCGTTTCCCAAGGAACCATATTGTCTCCATTCTTTTTCATAATTTTTAACATTCTCTTTTGAGTTATCAAACATTTTGTATATTTTTCAACTCTTGTGGTTGTATATTGTGAAACTAGAAATGTTGCGTCTGTTTTCTACCTGCAGCAAAGCATTAGCCTGTGAGAAATAACATACTCATGAGTTGAAAACCTGTACAGTTTCTTTACATATATTCAGTATATAAAATTACCTAGTAATTTGTCTCTAATTAATTTTACTTTGAAATTTCATTATGAAAATCAATGCTGGAGAAGTTCAATATTGAAAAAAAAAATATTTTAAAACCTAATTTCATTATTACTTTTGATCCGCTAGAAAGAAAAATTTGCACATTATGCTCTTACCAAAAAACATTGCCAACAACTCACCATCTCTCTCAGTAGGAGTCCTACATTGCGGGCAAGGCTTGGTCAAAACTTTTATCGCAACTTTTGAAGCTTCATCCCATCGGGCTTCAGAAGCTCTAGCTGGATCAACACTGTAAGAGCAGCCTTCTGAGTTTATATTATTTTCATTATCAGCATCTCTGCATTCTCCAATGTGATAACCTTGCAGACAATTTCGACAGAAGACATACTAAAATCACAAAATTTGTAAAGTGTAAAATGATTATACAATGTTGATTGACTTTCTTCTTTTTAAATAGTTCCTGAGTGAATTTACTTTCTAATTCTAAAACTTCCTTGTTGATGTATTAATATTTTCAGGGTAATGTTTCCTTAAAAAATGAAGCACATACCCCACATCCACTAATACAAGTAATTTTCGTACATTCTGGATCAGCTAAAATTCCCATACCACAACCAGGTTGGGGACAGAGTACCCCTCCAGATCTGAGGACAAATTCCTCTGTTCCAAAACGTTGGTATTGGGCATACTGAAAAAAAAACTATTACAATAAATACTTATTTTTCATATTATCATCAGGTAATCAATAAACACTTTTTTTTAAATAAAAACTGAACATTCAGTTCCACATAAAAAAGTTTACTTCAATTGAGTGTATTAAATAATTTAATTTCAATATCCTTATATTTGGTTGAACAAACAGTTCTTGATAATACCATGATGTATTTATAAACACATTTCGAATGTATTTATAAACACATTTCGAATATTTCAATAAATTAGTGTGTGATACGAGTGAAAATGAGAATTAATCTTTTATTGTACTGCAGTAACGTAAGTTACAAATGAAAGTGGTATAAAACATTGGAAGACAATAAAGTAGTAAGTAAAAAATTAATATTGCTATATTCTAAATTAAAACCAATAGCAATTGAAAAATGTATGGAACAGCAATGCTAAAAAAACATTTACATAAAAATGTTTCTCACTTGAACATCAGTGAGTAATCTAAAGTGGTGAATTTCTTTGATAAATGAATCGGGGCAACCAGCAGGGCATGCCAAAGTATAACCATATTCGGGGTGCTGCCAGAACTGTCTCTCCATGAGTTTTGTAGTGCAGTATTGCCGAAAGCAATCTAAACAAGTAACATGGCCCTCAGTGCAAGGAAATACAACTACAGGATCACTAAAAATAGAATTGCAAATATATTAGTAACACATGGAGTATTTTTTAATGATAAACTTGCCTCACATCTGCACAAGCTAAACAAGGTACATCTTGTAGATTAGGTCTTATTAAATATAATGGCACTGCCTGATCTTGTTCTCCTAAAGATGTATGTTCTGAACATTTGAAATAGAATTCTGCAAACGTAGGTTCTTGATTATTCAATACCTGAAGTATATAGGATTGAGATATTGAAGGATTTTCATCTTGAAATTAAAAACTTACATCAGCACATAATTCTGAACTATTTTCGCACAAGCCTGTAATTTGTTTTTGTTCTAGAACATCGCTCCATTTCTGGGGATCGGAATGCACCGTGAATGCACCACTTTTGCAAAAATGGCATCTCACTCGCAGTTTTCCTGATTTAAGGGCTTTGCAAGTTGGACAAAAGACATAAAAATGAACTTTTCTTTTGTTGGTACCTGAAAAGTAGATATTGAAAAGTAACCTAAGATACTGCATCAACGACTTTAACTCAGTTCTATGCTACGAATTTCAAAAAGAAAAAAAATTCCTCGAGATGAAACTTTGCATTCAACTTATTTCAACTCAAAACTTCAATGTATCAAAATGTATTTTTTGAATGGTATCCTCAAATCCCAAAAATTTTGGAAGATGTCCAACAAAACTCACATTACAGAAAGATTTTCCCCACTAAAGGTATACAAAACTGCAAAGCGTCAATAGCTTCCTCAATCTGAGTTCTGCTTGTGAAAAAGGGTTTCATAAACCCATAAGTCGAAATTTCGAGATTCAAAGTCGTAATTTCCAAGAAACAAATGATAAAAATATGTGGCCCTTCTGCGCTTCCGTATGATACTATATAGATCGATTCGTGGATGCAACGATTGAACTCTTCCTTATTAGCTCAAAGATTGTCTGGGAATCCCAAAGTATGTAACAATGCAGTTCTTGAGATACTGATGAGTTTCACAACTTCACAATAGATATAGAAATAACGTAGTACTGGCTTTTGGCATCGAGACAATGTTTATGTCCAAGTTTTATTTAACTGGGACACTAAGACAGCTAGATGCGACTTCCAGTTTGAAGTAGTTTTAGTAGTAGTCATATCGTACGACCCGCAGTTGGGTGGAGAGGCATTGATATAGTAAGCAGTTCTTCAGTCAAAATCATCCTTTCTGGACGAGATGTACTTTACAAGGATAGCATTTCACTTTTTTGAAAATGTTGGCTACTGAAGACTTGCAATAATAAAATTCCTTGAGAATCCCCGCACTTTACAGCTTGGCTCTTTAACTACATCTTGATGAAAAGTATATATCTTGCTTCCTCAGTATCGCTTATTTTATAGTGAAAATCACTATAAAATGAATTGGCAAGTTTTGATATGGATTTTCATCCAGTATCATTCAATTTCCAAAAATTCTGTTATACAATCCTTTAATATAAAATGTGAAGAAATTGTTCCAACTCTTACTTATTATTCGGATATGAATCAGACAATACAAGTTACAAGAAAATCATATCAGGTAGTTTCCTGAACCGTTTTATCGAAATATAGTCTAGCCTATTTTCTGTTACATTCAGTCTTTGAATTGAACAATCATCATTTCTAGGTTCTTATGTTATATTTATCAAAAATATGTTTTTCAACAAGTGTGTCTTTGAATTTGAAAAGGAACAGTGAACATTTTCTTTTATTGAAGATGATGGTATTTCATCATCTCCACTTATACAAATGTTTTTGATTTTTTGTGATGAGTCTGTCAAGTATAAACAATACTTGATATGTAGATAATTTAATCATACCTTCCTCAGAAATTTGAGTATCTGCGTCAAGATTTGAACTACTTTTTGAGTTGTCTTCATTAGAAAACATTGTATCACTTAAAGTTTCACATAATGGTTTGCTGCCTTGATCCTCACTTTCCTCGATGAGACTACTGCATGGTTCTGGAAACACAGTTTTAGCTCTAGTCTGAATTTTCACAGCATGTAAAATGCTTTGTTGGCCCAAATCGCAGTCCTAAACCAAGAAATTCTTTTCTAAAAAGTTATCCAAGTGACTCAGTTGACTTACCGATATCTTGATATTGTTTCCCAATTCTTTTCCAGCAAAAATTATTTTGACCTCATCTGGTTCTAATCCAAGCTGTTTGGCAACTATTTCCTTGAGATTTTTAATATCCCACGTTGGATCCAGTTCCACAGTGAGGGTATTTCCACCACTTTTCACAAATATGCTTAGAGAATTCGAAATTTGTTTTTTACCAAAGGACAGTAATTGGAGCATTCTGTGCACGAAACCTTTCAGAGCATTAAGCAAAAAACTCATAGCAGCCAAAATGTATGCACTTGTTATACCTTTTCAAATATTTATAGATATTCATGTATTTCTTTAGAAAATATATTTTTGAGGTTATGTCATATGTCTACTTGTCTACCTTTTTGACATATACTCTGATCAACTGTTTTTTTGCGTATTTGTGTTCTGTGAACAATTTTGGAATTATCTAGCCAAAATTAGCATTAACTGAAAAAGCACTTGACGTGTGTGAATATACAAGCGATGTGATAGCGGGTTTATAAGTTTATACAACAATACCTTCCTAAGAACTATACCCAAAAACCAATAATTAAGAATATAGGTACATAGGAACAGTGACCGGTTTATGCATATGTTAAAATGACCACTGACCACAATCATTCTTCATTACATAGGTAGATATTCAACTGTACTACTGAAAATATTTCCATATTAACAAAAAATTAATAAAACTGTCATTTCTGAGATACAAATTTGAAACAATCAAACATTTCATTTTGACCTAAGCTCTTAGTTATATTAGTTATAAATGTTATTCAACGTTATAGGCTTATTAGTCGAGTTTACATACTATGTTGTAAGACTAAGAAGGTGTATGTTTTGCCTAAACCCGTTACAGGAAAGCCTGATAATTTCAAATAGTAGCCAACCTTCGACTTTAACCAAAAGAGAACTTTGCAAAATATCTTTATGTCTGTCTGTCTCTTTCTCTCTGCAGTTTTCACTGTATTCACGTGCCTAGATGATAGTAGAAACAAAGCATTGCATTAAATTACATCCATTACCAAACAGCGCTGTTTCGATCTGCCATAGACCTCATGATACTACGGAAGCGCAGAAGGGCCACATATTTTTATTATTTATTTCTTGGAAATTTCGACTTTTATCTCGAAATTTCGACTTTAATCTCAAAATTTCAAAGGATAGCATTTCACTTTTTTGAAAATGTTGGCTACTGAAGACTTGCAATAATAAAATTCCTTGAGAATCCCCGCACTTTACAGCTTGGCTCTTCAACTACATCTTGATGAAAAGTATATATCTTGCTTCCTCAGTATCGCTCTATTTTATTTACAATAGATAAGTTACCGATCTGAGTGCATTTATTGAATAAACCTTTTACGCACCAGAACAAAAATACTCACTCGATGCGTGTTTCGCTAATCGTATGAGACAGTATTCTTGTTCAGGTGTGGGAAAAATGTTTTTAACAAATTCATGTTAGGCCAGAGGTTTCAAATTTCAACTGAGTGCATTTTATGAAAGGATGTTTAACGTATCATATCGCCAACACTAATCATGATCTGAATTTCAATTCTCTCTCTTTTTACTGAACATGTCTGAAGAATAAGCTATTGTATAATATAACACGTGTTACGATTTTGTAAAGTGTTTAGTGAAAACCTCTCAATGAATAAGAAATATGTTAAAGCCATTTATTATTACGGAACCTTTGTGTGAACTATAACCTGTTGCCAAAAAAAGATGAACAGCTTCTATTGTTGGACAAGAATAAAAGTGCCTGATATAACCAAATTTCAATTATATGGGAAGATCTGCCGGTGAAATTGTCGGTTAAGCGACTATGCCGCCAACTTTTTTCCTCTCAAAGGCTATATAGTTTATCCACTCAGAGGATAAGCAAACGATACTGGAAAAAATATATCTCAAGGGTCACAGTAAATGTTCCAAGTGTTTGTTCTCCTCTGACCGCTAAAAAATGACCTAGCTCGGACATTAAATTGGTCTCTGATGTTACGTTGCATAGCGCGGGTGTAATGTTCTATATTTCTTGCTCAATTCAATCTTTAGGGTCACGGATATTACCAGGTCTGTTAGTATATACTTAGGTTTTGTATAATTCCACAGAAATTTTATTAAATTCCGACTCCCAACTTGTACATTAGAAAATGTTATTTTCAAGAAAATGTGTGGCTCTTCTACGTTAACGATAAAAGTGTGTTTTTTGTTATCGAAAACTTTCACAATCTGATCCCTTCATGTAGTGCCCACACTATACAGTATGAATTTTCAACAATGGATTTTTGTTGATAGACAAAACTAAGTCTTGTTGAATATTTTCGAAAAATGTAGTTCTATCTTGCTTTGGTGCAACCCTCACACGTCCTAAATATCTGTATTCTCGCTCTATTTTCTTCTTGCAATAAATTGTGAAATACATTCTCAACGCATTTCATCCTCTAGGAAGTTGTCGTTAAATGAAAAACAAAAATGGCAAAATATATCTTCAAACAATAAAAAATGGTTAGATATATAGAATGTTGAAATATTTACGTCACCTTATTTATTAAAAAGTAGTTTTAGTGTCGTTTATTTTTTGCCTATTTCTTATTTCGTGAATAACTTATTCTGTATCTGTATCAATTGAAAGTAACCTTCATTAGAAAATATAGAATATATCCATTTGAAAAACTGTTGAAATCATTATTCGACTGGTGGGAGAGGTTGAACAACTTTGAGAAACCCATTTGGAATCTTCATGGAATCAAATTTTGATAACAATGGCTGATGTCAAGTGTATTGTCATGATTTTGGTGTTTATCTATGATAATAATTAAGCACTTTTTTTCAATAACACTCTAGCTTCACAGGTAGTATCTAATAATAGGTACACATATTACAACAGTAGTAGTTACCTCACTTAATAATTGGTTAATGGAGAATGAAATAACTGGTAGAATTTGAAAAATCATTACAATCTCGTTCTTGGACAGTCGGTAAATTTTGAATATAATAAAAGGTTGAACAATGGTGATGAGTGGTTGGTTAACCTTTCTTTGGTCGTTCAATACGGAATTTGAATGTTTGTCCTTATATATTGCTTTGATGACGACAGCACACTTGTCCCGTCATTTCAGTTGGATTCCAGGACATCATCTATGAATGCATATATTCACCAGTAACCAGGTTCAATACCATGCCACAAAAATCCAGGGATCGGTTTTCTCCAAGAAGATAAATGCCTCCGAACTGGATATAAAAATTTCAGGACAAACAATTCCGCTTTCTGCTTCAATAAGTTTGTTGGGGGTCGAAATGGACACCAATATGTCTTGGCACAATCATGTCGCTGGAATTGCAAAGGCTGTTTCTCAAAAGCTTGGAACACTTCCGAACCAGAAAACTGTACACACCTCAGCAACTTTTGATGCATTATAAAGCTCAGATCAGACCTTCTTTGGAGTAACGTTCCCATATATGGGGCTCTGCCCCTAAGCATACCCTAAATCTGCTGGATTCCATCCAGAAAAGAGCCATACGCCAGATTGGAGACACGAATATCACTTGCAACCTTGATAGTCTAGAACATCGAAGAAAGGTTGGAGATTTGTCTCTCTTTTATAGATATTTCCACAGGAGGTATTCAATTGACTTGGCACATTTGATTCCACCAAGAGCGGTTTTGAGGATCAACTCAGTACACCTCGAACTTCACTGTTTAAGAACTCTTCCATTTGGAGAACGGCGTTTATGTGGTCATTTTTAGTGGGTATTCGCCTTTGGGAAGTGCCTGGGTGGCTCATCGGTGTTTAACCACTGCCTTGAACGTCTCCTGTTGTCGTAGAAGATCCACTTTTCATCACACGTATCGATCTGATACAAAAAAGGATTGTTTTGGTTGCGCTAAAGCAAAGAAGAATATACCTCTAAACGTGACAATTTCTGTCGATCAATCAGATCGTAGGTCACCCATTTTTCGAGCTTCGTGACCTTTCCAATACGTTTCAAACCATCAAAAACCGCATAGGAGCTGACGCCCAGTCCTTTCGCCCATCCAGGCACCATTTGTGATGGGTCAGTCTCCACCAGGGTCCTCAAATCATCGTCCTGGATTACTGTAGGTCGAACACTGCGTTTACGTGGAATAAACTTCTTTCCAAATGGATTGAATCTCCAGCGATCTAAACACCAAAATAAATATTTCAAGTACTGTGGTCTGTATAGATGTTCTTCTAGTTACTACTGATTTCATATTCTCAAGTCAAAATATCAACCCGGTATATCTTCGAAAATTTGTCTACATAAGTTATACATTCTTCAATTCTGAAACATCCCCAACAATAATTGTGATAAACGCGAGTGTAAATAGGTCAGTGTCAGTGTTTTATCTACAACTCTAAAAATAAATTCTCATTGTCATATCATTTTTGTCAATATCTCAAGGAATATCACCCGTACCTTTCAATCAAATCAGTTTGTTGTTCGTCACTTGAGTACAAATTTTATAACTGATTCAAGGTACACCCTGTTAGCGGGAACAACCTAATGTATGTAATCAATACTAACCAAACACAAATCATCGAGATAAAATAAATATTGCAGTGTTAGCATCCGTCATTGGTTTTCCATTCTATACACGCACACCAAAGATATATTCGGAATGCGATTTTATAGCTAGTAGCCATATAAACTGTAGAAGCAAATTAGCACTGTTTGTTTTACTAAGTATAGAGAGTTGTTTGCAGGAAATATTAACGTTTAGTTACAAACAGAAGGTTTGTCTCGCAATTCTCATTGTTTCAATTTTTATTTTGAAAAATATAGATAGTGAATTCTTTATCAGTCGGTATGCCGACACAATAGAAGAACATATCGACCAAAACAAGTCTATGGATCCGTCAGAAAATAGAAGAATTTTAAAAAGGCTAAATAGTGTTAGACAACTAAGTGATTATTTGAAAAGAAACAACGACACAATAAAGAGGAGTTTAAGACCAGGTATGACGCTAGTTTTTCTTCTAGGCAACAATTCTGAGCTTCACAATCTATCACAAACTAAGCCCAAGCAGTTCTAACCACACAATTGAATGGTTATTTGATTTTGTGGTATGGTTCCCACAAATATAATTTTATTGATTATATCTCACCTTCAGCTTTCAAAATTTCCAAGAGTGGATTAACCCAAGTTTTTTTATATTGCATGAAATGTAACAAAAACTATCTTACAATGGCTAATTATGTTACAAGGTCGATATCGAAAAATTATTTTTTTAACTCGATTTGAAAGTTCATAAAGATTTATTTAAACCACACTTCCAAATATTACATTAGTGACAACAAAAACGAAGGTATTCTAATTCAACTATCAATAATTATCGTAGCAAAGGAAATACCAAAATTCTCCATCGATAGTACTCCCGCCAAAAATTCGATTCATATGGCATTTAGACCCTATACCCTTTCGGAAGCTCATTTGACTTGAAATTAATTTAATTTCTGATTGAGTTCAAGTGATAATATATCTGGGCGAAAGTAGCGATTTATGGCCAATTTTTTCCGCCATTTTATTTTTTCCCATTGATCTCCCCCGATTCATATCTATACTACGGAAATGCATTAGAAAAACAGTCAACTATCTTTAGGAGCCCGTCGAATTGAATTTTACGGAAGCGCAAAATAGCCACAAATTTTTATTAATTGTTTCTTGGAAATTAAACTGAAAATTTCGACTTTGAACTCAAAATTGTCTTGCAGTGAGTGCTTCACTAATTGACAGAGGACGTATCTCGTCGGCCGTAGATGTCGAAGCTTGACTCTGCAAGTGACCGCCTTGAGGAGCCTCGATAATCTTTGTCAATCCCAAAGATGGCGTCTTCGAGATTACGACTTTAACGAAACTACGAAATCGAAATATCGAGATTTAAGTAGAAATTTCAAGATTAAAGTTGAAATTTCTAGACTAAAGTCGAAAATTTGAGTTTTGAAGAAACAAATTATGAAAATATATGGCCCTAGGATTTAGAATGATGTCATTTTATTTCTCATATTTTTTTCATCAAATCCTTTTATTTAATACCCATATCAGGGGAATGTCCACCATTTTGGATGGTCTGCCATATTGGGTGTAGAATGACGTCACTTTATTGTCATCCAAACTAAACGAATTCGCAAAATTTAATCCTGATTAGTTGAAGATTAGTGCTTGAAATTCAGTTGCAAGATTTGATTCAAAAATAACATTCAAAATCTGCAAGTTGAATTAAAATAAAATATTGTAAGTAATGTGAAAAATCAAGGTTGCTTGTGATGTTTGATGTTTGGGTCTCCAATCAGGAGGAAGGGTATACTTAAAGGAGATATATATACTCTCGCGTACCTAAATACTCGTAAAAGTATTTTAACAAAGTTCTTTAGCAAATATTTCAAAATGAAAAGTAGTAAAATTTGTATGCAAATTTGTATGCATATTCATATTTAAAAAATGAATCTCTTGAGTAGGTACTACATTTTGATAATAGGCAAGAGTCTGTTAATGGGTACAATCATTTTAGCAACGTTATTTGACTTTTATTTGACCCCGCACTTTTTTGTTATATGATATTAAAATAGGGTTCTCATTCAAAAACACACAGTTGATCTTCAACATGCTAAATCCAATTGGATGAGTGATATTCTTCGTTGAAAGTTATCTTTTGTTTGTTTCTAGGGGTTTCATACTTTTCCCTTTGTCTGTGCGTAATGAAGGTCTGATTCTAATTTTGTTGTGAGTAAATACAGTACATCCCAATAACTTTTAATGCTTCGTAAATCTGAAATTAAAAGCATTAAAAGTTATTGGGATGTAATGTATTTACTCACAACAAAATTAGTAGGTCTATGAAATCTTTATAGGTGAAAATATGGAATTAGTGACTAATAGTAACTAGTAATCATTTTAATCTTATTGTATTCTTATTCTACAATATATAATTATTATACAGGCTGATGAGAATTAAGTATAGGTATCATTACATAACTTCATTTCTTGGTGACAAAATATTTGAAGAAATACCTAGTTGAGTCTTTCGATTCTGATGAGTGGAAGTAACGTATTGGATTAATTCCGAAAATGTATTCCAATTTCAATAGAATAATTGATTTATCTCACCATTTTACATTTTTGGCAAGTTACAAACAACACCGCAAGCAACACCAAGTATTTGCAATCTCTTATTTTGAAAATATTATTTGATAAGAATCACCGATACTAATGTGAATGATGTGTTTAGAAAATATTCAAACCATGCATCTTATCGTAAATATCCTAAACTATTGACTCGATCAAGAACATATTATATTAGGCCCCATTTCTAAAGAACTCATCGAGATCAAAAAAGCACTTGATATAAAAAAGTCATGTGAACTATCTCGATCAACTCTTCGAGATGACATACAGCTTTTCTATTTTTTGTCTTTGTCTTCTATATATAATTGCCTTTGACAAAGTTTTGCCAACTACAGATGGAGGAAGGAGCACACAGACTACATATACGACCAAAAATTTATATTTTCCGATAATAATCACTTTCTCTTTCTCTGCAAAAATTAGATTGAGGAAATAATGAAAAAGACATTTAACATCTTACTTCTATGTTAGAAAGCCAAGGTTCATATTGTTCCTGACAGTGTTCTATTTTTCTAGTTAGCTATCGCGGTACCTATAAAGCATTTTCCTCTGAACATATTGGTGAATGAACATTGATAGCGATCAGTAGCAAGAAAAGAAATAATATAATTTTTTGTCACCCTGCTTGGAACAAGTGGGCAGTACCAGAGGTATCTGGTTTTTAGAATTCAGAAACAAATTCTGGAGAAGTGTATATCATGAGTTTGAATAAATCACTCATTAATTTCGAGGTTGCGTCAGTTGTTCACCCAGAAATACTCAAAAATGTTCTCACCATTCTATGATACAGTTTCAAGTAAGTAGTGTGTACGTTAATTATTAAAGTCAATCGTCAAACAAATATATATACTATTTTAGGTTCATACAATTTCGTGAGAGGAATTTTACAAGAAGGTAATGAATCATTAAGCACACCTATTTGAAAAACATATATTTTTTGCAATGACATTTTTTTTCAAGCGATTAACCCTGGCACTCCAAAGTTTATTATCATTCGATCCAATATAAAACTAACCGAATTTTAGAAATGTCCAAGAACTCATAGTTGCCAGGCCTATACGAAACTGGGGCCAAGCTAATATTAAAGGAATAATTACATAATAGGAATAAGAATTTATAAATATACTCTTAATTCCAGTTTGAAAGCAAGAATATCAGGATATCTAAGAGAATCACGTCACTATATTATTGATAAACGCTATGTATTACCTATTCTTAAAATATGAAAAGCATAAATTTTAATTGATGAGGTCTGGAATAGATTATACCTACCTATTTATTTTCTTGACTTTCAAATCAAAGTCCTAATATATTCACAACACAAAATCTAGGTAATGTGTATGCAAGAACCCTATCTTCAAATCAGCGAATGCATACATCTCTAATTTCCCATTACTCTATTCATTTTCGAACATTAACTTTGCTAAAATGACGTAGAACAACTTTGTTGTTTACCTACATTTTCGATATAAGTTATTTGAGAATCAAAATATTGTAGAGTTGCTGTCAGTTGGTTGATTTTTAATATCAAATGACTGTTTTTGAATATCTTGATTGTTAGATTTGAACTGACATTTTAGAAAGTTTAAAATTAAAACTGAATTTAAGCTGAAATTAACTCCGGAGCCCTTATTCCACACTTTTATATATCTTCATTACAAAAAAGATAGTATTATAAACATTAAATGACTTTTTTTGAATATCTTGATTGTCATATTCGAATTAACATTTTGGAAAATTGTAATTTGCATTTTTTTGGTGTTTGTATTATAACATATATGACACTATTCAAATATGACAGTTGGCAGATTTTTCAAAAAAATGTTTCGCATTGTTTTATTCAGATGTTAGAGATACTTTCATAGTGCATGATAAAAAATAATTTTATAAAAGTATATTGATTTGTTGAAAAGTGCTGCTACCTTGAGGTGAAAATTCGAATTTCATAACAAAAAATGCAAGAAATGTTTGTCCTCACCTGTCACATTTGTCTTATCTCGTGTCAATTGTCAGTTTTTGACGTAATGTCAAACAGTAGCACATTTCAATAAAAACATTGAGGTTGCAAAATGTCTTAAGAGTTTTTCAAGAATAGATTGAACTTTTCACGACACAAAAGACTGTTTAGTATATTCAATAAATGTGTGTTGCTACGAGAGATATAATGGATTGTATGTTTGAAGCCTGTTTGGAAGCAACTCTAGAGCCAGATGATATTCCAAAAACTACAGAACCTGTATGGATACTGGGAAAAAGATATAATGCTATGAATGGTTTGTTTTTCAATAACTTTATTAAACATATAAGTGACCGTGGTTGATTTACAGATATCTATGAGATAAGACAAGACATTATTTCGAAAATATGGATAACATACAGGAAATGTTTTGTACCAATTGGTGGCAGCGAAGGACTTACTTCGGATAAAGGATGGGGTTGCATGTTGAGGTGTGGACAGATGGTACTCGCTCAAGCACTTGTTTCCCTTCATTTAGGCAGAGACTGGTTATGGGATCCACAAACTCAAGACTCAACCTACCTTAAGATCTTGAGAAAGTTTGAGGATACCAGGCAGGCCCCTTACTCAATTCACCAAATCGCCCAAATGGGCGATTCTCTGGGAAAGTCAGTTGGACAGTGGTTTGGTCCAAATACTGTTGCGCAAGTTTTGAAGTAATTGCATGTTTCAATTTCATTCAAATACCAAGAAAGCAAATATTGATTGAAAGTATGTTAGTTCAATCAAATATTAGTTGTAAGGAAAAGATTAATGTGGATGAGTCACGATTTGGTGACCTTTCATTCAGCTATTTTTAAACTCCACAGACCAATTAAACTACAGATTGTTTTAGAGAAATCTGTACTAATGTAAAAAGGACAAACTTATAGTTCACTCACAAGCCAATAGTCGCTATGGTTTTGTACACATGTTTCATATAAGTTTATGCTTCCTAACATGAAAAGAAATTTCTTTTATAGTATCCCTTGATGATTTCATGATGTTCATCTGTAAAGGTGAATTTATGAACACTCAATTAGGAAGCAACAATCAACAAATGGTAAGGGACAATTGCCAATTATAAGATAAACTTTATTTTCCAATGGACAAGCAAAAAAATTTACAATTATTAAGTAACAAGTAGAAGTTCACCAACTTTCAACTTTCTTCCTATAATTGTATCAATTTCCTCACCAGCGTGCATCCATTGCTGATTGGCTCATTTCAAAATACAGGCAGAAAAATAATGATGTTCAAATTTTTTATTGGTTTTGAAATATTTTGCTGATTTCCAGAAAAATGTTGATTTTGAATAATCAAGGTGATGTATCAAAATTTCGTTTTGGGCTGAAGTCTATATGATTTTTCGCTCATTTTCTCTCTTGTATAATATTTATATAGAATATGTCCGAGAATATTATGTCAAAATTCAAAATCTATAAGAATTAAAATCATGATTCTATTTCAAATTACTTAAATGAAAAATAACCCCTATAATATTTATACCCGATATTGAAATTCACATTTATTGGTATTGATGAAACAAATTGATAGGTACTCTGTTCACTATGATAAGACCAACATGCACAAGGGAAATCATTAGGATAAGTTTGATGTTTTGTTTGTTCTAAATTCTCAGAGTAAACTGGAAGTTTGAACTTTTTACATGTGCATAAAGTATTGCAATTTTTTTTCAATTTGTGGAAGGTAACATATAACACAAAAACATTGATTTTTTTTAGGAAATTAGTAAGGTATGATGAATGGAGCAAACTCTCCATTCATGTAGCTCTGGACAACACTATTATAATCAATGATATAAGTAAGTATATGTAGGTAATAGTAGGTCCTGTACTTATATTCAATATTGAATTGAAAAATCCCATTACTGACTTGGACAATTTTTCATAAAACTTTTGTTGCTCAAACTGTACTTGGGTAGAAATTATTCATTAAATATGAATTTCAACAATATAATAAAACACTGTTTTCGCACAGTTGATATTTTTTCAAAAATAAAATTATATTTCAGGAGAGTTATGTTGTCCTGTTGATTCCAAAAATTCTGACACAAATAAGATGAATTCGGAATGGAAACCACTGTTACTTATAGTGCCTTTGAGATTAGGAATCACCAATATCAATCCCATTTATATTAGCTGTTTACAGGTCAGGATCCTTTTTATTTCATTCACCTCAAACGTTTACTAAGTTATTTTCTGTTACTATCAATTTTCTGCAGTATTTCCATTGTTACTTTATTAGAGTGTATTAATACAATTTATTATTGAACTAATTCACTAATATCAAGTGTATTTTTACTTTTTATTCCAAAACACAAAGGAGCTCCAGGGGGTTTTATTTAAAAATTCAATAATTCAAATAACTTTTTTTTTCTGGAACCAACATTTTTGAGAAGTATATAAAAAATTGTCATTTGGTATTCTTAACAAGCTTAAAAATTTTGCCTCCCTTTGAAATTTGTCAAAGAAGATGAATTTGTATGTCTATTATTTCCCACTCATAAAGAATTATATGTCAGGCGATAAATTAGCCTGTGTAGCTTCTAAGTTTATTATGTATCAGATGTATCATTACTATATGATGTCTACCTTAGAATTTCAATTTATTGCTTTACAGGGCTAAGTATTTCCAAATTGTAATAATAGTTTTTCACAATTTCAGAAATGTTTTCAGTTCAAACAAAGCTTAGGCATTATTGGTGGAAAGCCAAATGTTGCTTTATACTTCATAGGATGTGTTGGAAAGGAACTGATATATCTAGACCCACACAATACTCAAAAAACTGGTTTCGTTGGGAATAAAGAGACACCAGAACAAATTGAAATAGATATAACCTATCACTGTAGATATGCATCTAGAATTAATGTAACCAAAATCGATCCTTCAGTAGCTGTGGTGAGTTTTTTTTTATTTCAACACTATTTCAGCAAATGATTGTTTTCTTATGCTTTGCAATTTATTTCGGTTTTTAAATTCTCGACAACAGATATTATAGTTTAATGACTTCATGTTGAATCATTCATAGTTAAAATTGAGGTAGACATTTAAGTATTATTCAAAAGGAGCAATGTTGATATGATTTTAGTCATACCTATGATATGATTTCAAGTCATATTTACTCATGAAATTTATTAGGAATATGGAATAAATTTGACTGTATTATTATTATGATAGTAAAAGTAGTGCTTGTTGTTATTTAATATAAAGATGATAATAATTAATGCATTTTCCAAGAAGCATACATGTTTAAGGTAAATAATTCAAAATTATTTAGTATCAGTGAAACAATGAAAATAAAAAATGATATCGAAACTGAAATTAAAACTAAATTATGAGTCGACTAAGAAAATACATCGACCCTGTTTAATAAAAAATATTATCAAAATTGTGTTTATGCAGTCAAACATAAACATACATATTTCACAATATATACATTATGAGATGAGTAAATATTCTTCAAATTAATTTGAATTTTCTAGTTGTTAAGTGTTCAGTAGATCATTGTACCTAATACCTTCATAATGTTTTCATGTTCATTACTTGCATACTTTGTAAATATCTGTTGAATGATTGGTTCATTGGAACCTCTGGGGTGAAGTGAATCAATTGAAAAAATGTTTCCAAATCAGAACAAAAATACTGTCTCTTGACGGGCATTTATGGAAGATGACTTTCGCAGCCACAGTCTATGTTACTTGGGTCATTGAAATTTTTCAACATCCAAGTAACAAGTATATCGGAAGAAGATAGCCATGTCTGCTAGCGAAACAGGAAAAAATTCCCAATTACAACGTCCTTCAAAACCTGACAAAAGATACTGATATAATACAAGTTGATACCATCAAAATATGACTAACACTGATTAGTCATCTTCTGCCTTAGCAAAATGCACACGTCAAGAAACAGTATTTTTGTTTTGGTGTGGGAAAAGTATTTTCAATTAGTCTTTTGAATAGTTCTGTTGGGTCTAGGTCCAAAGAGAGTGGGTCTACTCGAACCTCCACTGCAACCTGTGAGGGTTTATTGTGCCTTGCACGTACTTAAGCTCGGTAGAACAAGTCCAGGTTCTTGACGAAGCCCAATAGCATATTTGGTGAGTAATCTTCTCACTCTGTGCATTCTGAAAACCTGATTTGGTCCGTAGTGGAGCAGACCTAACGTATGTACTCTGGTATTTCACAATATCTCAATCAGAGAAGGCATGCACTGTCTCCTTACAGTCGAAGTCTCTGCATATGATGATTATGTAAGTAGGACTATCAGACAATGTAGGTCATCCCAGCTGAGGTCTTAGCAATTGTTTGGTGCCATGCTTCGAAGGATATATAAATGCCTTGGGAATAGGCCAATTTTGGTATTTTGCCAGGAGTGTGAAGCTCTTCTTACGCTCCAGTGTTCAGTGTTTGGCAAAGCCTGAAGTGATAAAGTGATCATGTCCGATGAAACCGCTGGCAGCACCCTCCCTTGCAAGGGAGTCAGCAGCTCCATTACCTTCCAGGTTGATGACTACATACAATTTGTTAAGTCTTTCTATCGAAAAAAGTCATTTTTGTCAATTCACTACCAATTTTTATGTTGCCTGGTGAGAACCAAGTGCTTGAAAAGCCACATGGCAGTGCGACAATATGTTTATTGATTTATACGCGAGGTTGGTGGTTGTGGCATTATTTTCGAAAATTTGATTCATAGTCAATAGTTTGAATTTATTATGGAAGATCTAATAATTTTTTTAATTTAAACAAATTACTAGCGACCTGCCACGGCTCCGCACGGGTGCAATGCTGATACTAAATATACTACGGAATGTCTTTATATACAACATTCACAGCTTTTTTGTCAGTAGACAATACAAATGTTTTTTTAGAGCTTACTCTTGAAAGAACCACACATAATTGGCCCTGTACCGCCGCAACCGCTATGTCCCTGCATTTTAAATCTGTAATATATGTACAGCTACCGGACTGAGTCATAGCTGGTGGGAGAAATCGTACATACATACTATTATTACATACTTATTGTATTGAGGGAGAGACTTCTCACCGGCCATGACCCAGTCCGGTAGCTGTAAACGCGTCCCTTTTATATACAGAGGGGAGCCCAATTTGGAATATTTGAAAAGCCTTTCTCATTGCACATCTACAATATAAAACGAACCTACACACAAAATTTCAGCCTCCGAAAATATAGCGGTACGGAGAAACAGTGATGAAAAGGTAATTTTCATATGTAAACGCTCCCCTTTTACCCCCACGGGGGGCGCCCCAGTTAGAATATTTGAAAATCATTCCTTATTGCACATCTACAACATAAAACGAACCTACATACAAAATTTCAGCCTCCGAAAATATAGGGGTACGGAGAAAGAGATGAAAATTAGGTAATTTTCATATGTAAACGCTCCCTTTTTACCCCCACGGGGGACGCCCCAGTTAGAATATTTGAAAATCCTTTCTTAGTAGGCATCTAAGACCCCAGAAGCACCTATATACCAAATTTTAGCTTCCTAGGACTTACCGGTACGAAGAAACAGAGATGAATGAGTGAGTGTTAAGTGAGTGACTTTCGCATTTATAAGTGTAGGTCTTTCGGCTTCTAGTTCTGTTTAAGTGTACACTTTTAGAATGTCCTTTTCGATTTTTCTTTGTTTGCTTTTAATAGAGGATGTTTTGCCATCTCCGTACTTATATTAGTTGTTGATTTTTATAATGAACTAAGGAAGAGTATATCGATTTTGATGTTATTTTTCTCCTTATTTGTAGAAAACATTTTTGCCACAAAAAATATTCATCTATCACAAGATCATGGTATTTCACAATCCTCATTATCAAATTTTATAACATATTTTGAATCCTTTTTTTGTTACCAACATACATGTAGACTTAAAAATTTTGTGAATATTCATGACAGTCAAGCCATAATGATATTTCATTCTCATTACCTTTTTCCTGTAGAGGTACTGTCACCCGAGCTGTTACCACTGTAAATTAGGCTGATGTTATCAGCAAACACTTATACATATTTTATCGAGTAAAGTTAAATTGTCAAAGTATTTGGAGAGTACTCATTTGCTAATATAATATTGTTTTATTTGTACTTTTGTCTGCATTTAAATGTATTTTTCATTGTAGTGCTTTTTTTGTAAAACAGAATCAGACTTTGATGAATTTTGTCAGCGAGTGAAAACTGACTTGATTGATAGGGAAAAAGAGCCAATGTTTGAAATAAGCCTTGACAAACCAAAAGAATGGTCGCCAACACTAGAAAGTGCAGTTGAAGCCAATGCCTCGTCATTTTCAGGTATGTTAGTAGTGGATTTTTATTTTTAAGAAATAAAATGTGTAGAAAAAAAATACAAACTGTTTGAGTAGAGCCTAGATCATGACAGCACGACCAGCTGTCGAAAGCGCTCGCATATAATTAAATAGAAGTTATAAACTTCAAATCCTTTTTGTGACTTATATTAATATTAAAATACTGAAATAAAAACCTTTAACAATATCAGTTATAGTTTGAAACGCCAGTCATCAAAGTCGTTGAAAAGGCGAACTGAACTTGTTACAGCAATGGTCACTGTACATTTTTCACTATAGATATACACTGGTTTTTCTGTTCAAATAACATCCAAAAATAAATTATGAATTTCTTTGTGTTCAAGGTAAAAACTGATATTCTGGGAATTTTGAACATTAAATTCAAGTTATGTATGACAAAATCATACATTATATTTACTACTTTCTCATTTCTTGCTATTTTTTTCGCTTCTCCCTCAGGCGACAACCCCAGAATAGCAAACTTCGTTCATGAAAAGTATCTTTTCTTTACCTGAAAATTTCTTCAAGTGTCGTTCCTTCGTGTTTTTTTTTTCTTCATAGTTATATATGTTGGATTAACTTTATTTCATTTCTAAATTTGGTTAATAGTGTACCTAAAAAAACTATTCGGAGAAGTTTCAGAAACAAAACAAAATATATGAAGTTCCTATTTCAATTGGGTTTGGTAGTCAATATCGAATGGTTATAAAGAAATAGTATCTATTGACAAAATGGTTTAGACTTTCACGGATGAGGTTTTCAGTGTCATTGCTTTTCGAGTTTGAAAGCCGTGGATTTTTGGAATTTCTTCCTAACGTTTCGCTGGCGCGAGTGGCTAGCTTCTTCAGAGGTTTAACCATCATGGCTTGCTGTCCGATGACTAACTTTTAGGTTTCGTAAAGTGTATTTATGCCTTGTCAGGTAATCAGTTGTATTTGTACCTGTACTTCTACCTGCACTTTTACCAGTTCCATATTTGATTGAGGTTCATTGGAACCCCATTTTAAGGAATTCTAGAATAACGAAGAGGACAACAGGCAGCAAGATTGTTAATGTTCCAGGGTCAAGTGCAGGTACGAGTACTGCTACAAGTGCAGGTACAAGTACAGGTACAAATACAACTGATTACCTGACAAGGCCTAAATACGCTTTACGAAGCCTGAAAGGTAGTCATCGGATAGCAAGCCATGATGGTTAAACCTCTGAAGAAGCTAGCCACTCGCGCCAGCGAAACGTTAGGAAGAAATTCCAAAAATCCACGGCTTTCAAACTTGAAAAGCAATGACACTGACTATCTATTGATCTTCAAGCTTTCGGAATGTTTTATTTCCTTCTTCAAGAATATCTAAAATTAAAAAATGAAAGCAAACAATAAATTGAAAGAACATATAGAAAAATATCTCATCAAAATAAGGTTTAAAAATGAAATGGCATAAATTTACAAACATAAACACTGTTAAATAATCCGTCGCATCATCAGAGAAAATGGATCTAATTATGATTTTGGTCTATCCAGAGTTTTCGTGAATATAATTTCCAGTAGAAATGTATAAAAAATATAAAAATTAATTATGAATGAACATATTCATATCTGTATACAAAAAGAGACACAAAAAAATTGGAAATGTTAATTTTCATCACCCCAGTTTTTTGTCTCATTTCTAAAAATGTTCTAACTTTCATCTTCGATTCGATTTATACATTTCACCCCATTATAAATCAAATTATCTTTGACTAGATTGGTTGTGGGAATAGCAAGGTCAAGATTATTTTGGCCAGTGCTATTGTAGATGCTGTTCCTTTGATAATCAACTAATATTATGTTTATTTTCAGAGATTCAAGCAGCTGATGGCAAACAAATCGACTCTGAGAATGAATTTGAAATGGTTTAGATATGAAGTTATGATATAATATTTTTTATTGTCCCATTGTCCAAACTTTTATATTTACATTACTGGAATTGAAAATCTTACAAGCTTAATGAAAAGAAAATGTTGAGATGCATTTATATATCAAATTGTAAATACACTATGCATAAGATGTTAAACGAATTTTGGGTGTACATACGATATTGACAATTTTTTTATTTATTTTAAAAATGATTTCTATTTGTTACCTATTCGCTGATGAATAAAAAATTGAAAATTCAACATCAATGTTTATTTCACATCATATGACAAAAACAAACCTTACAGTCTAATACACAGTCAACTGTACAAGAGTATTGGCACACAATGTTCCTTTTTTCCACTTTCGCATAACTTTCGATAACATTTGAAGTAGAATTAGTCCTTCAGTACAAAGAAATACGTAAAATTTAATATAAAATGTGAATTTTCAACAAAAATACTAAGTTTTTATTTTCTATGAATTGAATATTACTGGAGTTTTTTCCCAACACCAAATCGTTATTTTTAACAACTCGACACGTGTTTCGATCACCGATCAACGAGGAAGATTAAACTGTTCAAGATAAAAAGAGAAATGAAAATTTCTATGTTTTTTACCACTTTTATTTGTAACTAACGTTACTGCAGTTTCGTCCTATATGGACATTTTCAAACTTAAACAATAAGTTTAAATGTGATCTCCTACCACGTAGTAACGGCCACATACATCAATTTATTAAACTGTTCAATTTTCCTTATTGAAGATGATCACTTGATGATCGAAACACGTCGAGGTGTTAAAAATAACGATTTGGTGTTGGGAAAAACTCCAGTAATATTCATTATTACACCAAAGGTTCCAAACAGTGCATCACAAGTTCTATGAATTAATTCAACAGAATCGGTTCTGATGAAATTTTTTTGAAACATGCTACTAGTACAACTTGAATTGTCCTAGTAATGTACACAGTATCATTCAGCCATTTTGAGATAGAAATTTGAAACATTGGAGCCCATTATCACAAGGATTAAACAATTGAAAATCCCTTCCGGTAGAGAGTGAAAAGTTTGCTTAGTTGAAGAAGAAAAATACGAAAATCTATATTTGACATACTTTTTATTTATTTTTTTAAATCACAATTTTGAACTTCATCAATCTCAAGAATCTTAGTAACATGTTTTGAACTTTGAAGTGTATCTCTGGTACTATGTGATTCATTTCTCTTTGGTAGTGAAAAAGTTGGTAGGTAATTACTAACCCAGGATGAGCTTTGAAACTTTTACTTTTTCACTGGCACAGAAAAATTAAACTAATAGTATCTTTGACATCGTTTTATAGTACAAGAGATACATTTTAATGTCAATGTTTAAAAAACACCGCTCAAGATTTTTAAGATAAAGTTGTAAATAGCATTCCAAAAAAATCCAATTACTGAATTTTGCCTTGAAAACCAATCTGATTTTGTCTTCTGTCTCATTACATCAAGTTGTTTAACATTTCAATAGATGACGTCACTTGAAGGAGTGGCTTTTACGCCACAATTTTGAATAGAAATGGCCACTTATATTTGAAAAAATTATATCCAATCAAATGGTCTGGAAAATATTAAGTTCTATTTGAAATTCTTGACATGGGATCATGGTTGGTCAAACTAGAAGAGGTTTTTAATTGTTTCATCATTAGAAATATTGCCTTCACTGAATTCCAAATTTTGAATGTCTTACAAACAACTCAATGAGCCGTATACAATGATTTTTTTATCAATATAATAACTTCGCAAAAGAATAAGACCATTTACATATCTGCAAAAAATCAACCCATAAGTGCATAGTGTCCATTTAAGCAGATGTGTTCTTCCCTGGCAATACCTCATATATGAATATAATCTCTTATATTTGGATGTTAAAGACAAATCCTCTAGACCTTTACACAAGAGGAAAAAATTGAGAATCGTTTGGGATCATAAGTGTAGATGTATCTTTCCAAAAATGGGCCCAAAAGCGGTATCGGCTAAGTTTTTTTAAACAACTTCTATAGCATCATTAAAATTCAGCAAATTTTAAGTAGTATAGTCGAAGTATATCATGACTTTTATTACAAACGTGAAGTATTGTTAGTTTATTCGTATACTTTTTCAACCGTCCACTGTCAAAAACACTAGTGTCATGAATGTTGAACTTTCCGTTCATCACTGAAAAAAACTTTTATACGAACTAATGGAGAAAGGTGTCGAGCAGCAAATTGATTTTTATGCTATATCACTAGTTGATAGGACACACAAGTGTATGCAAGGATCAAAGCCATGAAGAATATCTTGAACTGGTTTGGACCAACAACTCAAATATGATCTTGAGGTGCAAGAACGTTTAAAATGCAAGATGTAGGCTATTGTAATTTTAGTGACAAAAAGCCAGGGGTGAAATCTAAGATCAGAAAAATGGAAAAAGTTCAAACCCTACTTCAGTATGGTAACCGATTGTCAATAGCAGGGAGCATCAGAAGCTACGAACTAATGTAAAACTCTCTTCAATTTTTCAAACTTACCCTTATTGACAATTTTTCGAATGGCATACTGATACAAACCAACTTATACTGAGACCAGTTGAAATCCTAACAAAAAAATGCTCTGCGGTTCTAGTAGTTCTGATTCCAGTTGCACTGCAAAACCTATAGCAAACTACAATAAAAATGGGTGGCATTAATTAGATGAATCGGTCAGTAGCGCTAATATGCAGCGAAAAGGTGGTGGCAGCCGACTTTTGGACATCTTCACATTTTGGTACCAAATGCATGATTATTGCTGAGATTTTTATTGAGAGAAAAATAGAACAGATAGGCTTTTGAACTTCCCAAGATCTATTGCAATAGACTTCCTCACAATTCATAGAATTGTGTCATCCAGGTAAGGATACCCTGTGAAAATATGATCAATCATCTAGTCTATAGCTTAATTTTTAAGGGATTTTTTTTAAAATAAAAATTGACACAACTTCTTGATTTTATTTCACTACTGTATAGGGAATTATGGTTTTATTGATGATTCACATACAAATATTGATTTTTGCAAACTTATGCACTAATGGGTTGAGATATCTAAAGAAATTGATGACAACTTTATACATTACATATTTGAATTTATCAAAATACATGAGTTGTGTTAATAATTGAAGAGATACTCCAGAACGAATTTGAAGACCATAATAAATAAATAAGAATACCAATATAATAAAAATTATGAAACATTGTTGAGCAAACTAATAACAAAATATTACAATCCTGAAAAGTTTTTTTATTTGATTTCTTCCACATCAAGTTCTTTTGATTTTTCTTCTCATTTCACATGAACTACCATATAAAAAAGGCAAAATATCTGACAAAACTTTTCATTGAGTGACCTTTAAGTTTCTAAGCTGACATTGTGAGATCTATATACTCCAGGAACATTAATCCATATACATATCACTTGAATATTCGAGTTCAACAATTAGTATAATTACCTGCTGAATTTCGAGGTGGCAAAAAGATCGAATATTCATCAACACATTTCTTATGAACGTTATTCTTTCGTCCCATTGTAGGAACTGAAAGAGTTATCTTTGAAGTTAATTATGATAACTGTTATATTATCTAAGGACCCTCTGTAATATGACTGTAAAGTTAAGCTTTTAGCTCCGTAGTCGGGTTCGTTCAGCCTTTCTTTAATGAAGCTCACAGCTTCGTCGTTCGCAAATGTGTCCCACAGCCCATCTGATGCAAGAATCAAAAAAGAGGGTTTGTGATCTTTCAAATCAAAGGTCAAAATATCGGGATCAGCGATCACCAGTTTCCTGTCTTTCAAAGGATAGTCACCCAGTGCTCTGGAGGTGGCTAGTATACCAGCCACCCTCCAAACACCGGTGAAGGTCACAAAACCTCCTGCCTCTTCGATTCTCTTCCGTTCCCTCATCTGCTGTGGCTTGTGGTCAAAAGATAGAGGTATTGCGTTACCTTTACCATCACACATAACTCCTCGAGAGTCTCCGACATTGGCTACTACCAACCTGTCTCCTTCTAAGATGGCTATTAAAGCAGTAGTGCCGGCGACGTCTAGGCTTTTCTTTGCTTTTTGCACCAACCGTTCATCAGCTGCTAGTACCTCGTCTGTCAGAAGTTTCCCGTAATTAACAGTGCCTGACTTGTCGAAGTAAGTTGTGAGGGGTACTTTTTTAAAACTGGGCGTTAGAGTTAATGGTCGAGAACTTCTGGTGATGGGTTTAATGTTGTCCAGCTTAGTGAGGAGTTCAAGATCGGTTATTTCTTTGGCTCCTTTTATGCATTCATCTGTGGTGGAACTGGTTCTTCTGAAACTCTTTCTACGACCTGCTGAAGTTGGAGTAACAGGTTTTTCGGGGTCTTTCTTTTCTTCCTCGTCGCTATCTTTCATCACCTTTGGAGTAGACTTACCAGATATCAAGTCTTTTATTTCTATCACTTTATCGAAGAGATTTTGAGCAAGTTTTTCTTTTGCAAAGTTTGCAGCAAACTCACCTCCATGTCCATCAAACACTGCGAATAGTGCGACCCCTGTGTTGTTGATGTTGTCGTTGATGACGAACCTATCCTCCATCTTGCCTCGTCTACCTTGTACAGCGTATGCTGCTATGGCTCCGACTTTCATCTGCCAACTGGATCTTTCAACATCTGCGTTGCCGAAGAAACTCAATTTTTCTATGTTAGACTTCCGGCGATTGATGGTGTACTGCAGTCTCCCTAAATGACGACTCCATAGATCAGTTGCTTGAAGATAAACCAAACAGAAAATGACAAGTGCCCCAAAAACTATTAATTCTGGTTTCAACAGATACAGTTTGAAAAGCCTCCAAATGTGAGTAGTGAAAGTTACATGGGACAGCTTCAAAGGGACACTCCATGCTATTCGTGACATTATTTTCATGTGAGACACATATGTTTGATATATTATTTTATCGTCTAGTTCGTCTTCCATTCTACAGTACTTGTAACACAATTCGTTTTATTTAGGGCGACGGCATTATTTGTGTCAGTGACTCTAAAAAACAAAGTCACAAAACTAAAATTAGATTTGGAAAATATTTAAAATGTCAAGACAAAAATAAGCTTACTATGGAAAGGGTTTGCAAGCCGGTAGGTACTGATTTTGATAATTCATTTAAATTGAATTCTCAGTTGAAATTTGTCTTACGTTAACTAGCAGCTAGCAGCATTTATTAGCTCTGTTAGAAAGTTAAATCTTAAATCCAAACCAAATGATACCAGCTGATTGATGACAGGTGTAGGTGAAAAAAGGATTTCTCAATAGAGGACGCTAGTGTCAATAAATGGTGACATCAAAAGGTAAACAACTAATCCTTGCAACCTATATGCATTTGAAAGGCTTTCTAAATTCTGCAATCTGAGTTTCACGTACCATATGGCTGATAGCATATACCATTCGATACTGTAACTATTCAGAGAATGTTTTTCCCATAACGAGAAAAATTGACAAGCAATCAAATGTGTGACGTCTTATAACACTTGCTTATTATATGAATAATTGAGATGGACCTAATTAAAATTTGACAATAATCATTCCGTTAATGCTTGCCCGAGTATTGCAAAATTTCTACGAATAAAATAAATCCCGCAAAGAAATTGAAATATTTTAACTTTATTGCGAATCGGAAAAGTAATGGAATCATAGATGTGATGACTGGAGTCACAATCAAAGAGAACAAAATCCGGGCTGGTAGGTCATCGTGGTCGAATGAAACCTAAAGTACTGAAAGTTTCGTCTGCTACTACAGCAGACATCATCAGAGGTATGTGCGTTGACCACGAGAATGAAAGTTATATCTCGAAGTTTCAGCATGCAACGATTGACCGAGTCGGTCGTTGCTGAATCTGCACATACCTACCACTTATGATGTCTGTCGTAGTAGTAGACGAAGCGTGTATTTGAAGGTGCTTGACAATGTTTCACGTGTGATTCCTAACGTGGTAGGAATCACACGTTAAAAAGTAAGACCTCGTTAATCCTTAGCTCGCACAAGTTTCTCAACTTCTGAGAGTTGTCGTTCGTATGGGAGCTACAGCTGATTAACGGTAAAACAGATTTTAAACAGACAGACAGATTAGTTCGGACTTCCATTGTCTAATATGATATAAAGTAATTTGAAATCCCTGAAATAATCAATAAAATTAAAATGAATAGCTGAAAATAACAATTCTATCAACCAAAAAAAAAACCTGAAATGGAATTACAATAAAATAAAAAAGGGGAAACAATTGAAAATTGAACAATAAAAAACTTAAAATTTAAAGATTTCATGCCAAGTTACTTCCCGACGTTTCGATTGTTGGTATCCATTCATCCCAGTCATCACCTGAAGACGATTGTGGATACTAACAATCGAAACGTCGTGAAGTAACCTGGCTTTAGAACTTAAATTTTTCATTTTCATAAACAACACCTCACGAGTTGATCTCCACAAACTTTATTTGAAAAATATATAACAACATGTTTCGCTAATACAATAGCTTCTTCAACAGTGATTTGAATTTCGAATCACTGTTGAAGAAGTTCCTGTGTTAGCAAAACATGTCGTGATATAATTTTCAAATAAAGTTTGTGAAGATCAAACCGTGAGGTGTAGTTTATGAAATTACTATGGATCTTCATCAAGTAACGGCCGAATGAATCAGACATTTTTTTATTGTTCAAAATTCAATTGTTGATTGTATTTTATATTATTGTAATTTCATTTCAGGGTTTTTCTGNTCAGCAAACAAGTGTTGCCCATCTTCACACTTGGCTGCACCGCGCTGATGAGGCCAATAGTTAGAAACACGTGTCCGCGATTTGCCCCCCCTTTTTGGAGTGTTGTGTCCACGAATTGTTTTATTTGTGATTTGTATCATGCACACTCGTTAAAATATCTATTTGTAAATTAATGCAGTCAAGCTGCTGGAAAATAATTCCATGAGAATCAAAAAATAAATAGATAAGTACAGGAACGGGCAGGCGGTTCTCAATAGAAGACAAAATGACGACGACGTTATCCATCTTGATTTTGTTCAGGTTGAAGCCTGGCTCCCTTCCCCTTTTAACTGGTGTTTGTTAGAAAGACAAACGGGTAAGACAAAATGAGAAAAAAAAAACCAAGAAAGTACTTGATAAAATAGCTGCGTAAACGCAAGCGAAACACAAGTGGAACCACCTATTGGTGTGACACCCAAGTCAACTTACCAAGTTTTTATGTCAGTGTTGGTGGTTTGTCCAATCAACCGACAACTGCGGTAGCAGAAATTTGGAAAGCTAACCTGAAATGCCATCGAAAAACGAATCCACATGTTTCTAGAAATGATATGAAATCAAAATTTAAGAAATTTAGAATACAGAAACAGGAAATACCTCATCAGGAAGATGAGAATATGATATTCTTACAGATATAATTGAGAAATAATAATAATGAATGGTCTTCATGTAACGTGACGAAGTGTGGCAGAATACTTCTATTCTCCTCAATCATGTTTTAAAAAACACTACAAAAATGTCAAGTCATTCAATTATTTTTAAGTTTGTTGACTGGGCAATTCCATTTCGAGTTCAATTTTAACTTGATTTGTTTAACCGTTGTTATACAGGTAGGGGTACATTGTTTCAATATTACAGAATATAGATGCAGAAAAGCTAGCTTTAACTCTTTGAGGTACTGATGAATTTTTTCTGTTTTTTAAACTGTAGGTATAAGTTAATCATTCAGCATATCTTGCCAAAATATGCAGAGCATTAGATTCAATTATAAAGAGATTAATTTTTGGGAAAGAAAGGTTCTGGCTTTCTACTTCATCTTCACTAAATTATACCTTCCTCTCAACTTCCGTTCGTCTCGCCCGATCACACTTTTCGTAACGCTCTCGTCACGCATTCACCAGCTTCCTATTCGGTTTGCACTCCAAACATTCGTTATGGACTTCAATTAGATATCATTCACAGGATTCCTTGCCTTTTCGCTTCTTCAGCACCAATCTGGATAACTTTACAAGATGAAACACTCAATTCATTCATGAAATTACGACCATATGGCACGAATGAGTTTAATCTACTCATTTCATCGATGACAGTACGTAATGGCTTCATTCGTTTATTTGATTGAATGCCATAAAGATGGAGAAGTAGAAAGCCGAAATCTTTCGTTTTGATATATTTTTGTTTTTCGAAGTATATAGGCAAAATAAAGAATAATAATTGTTCTGACAAGTTGGATATATCTATCTGAATATTATTCAAACTCACCTACATTTTTGTGCAAATTTCTATTCACATTTGATTCATTTCAAAAAGTTTGTTTTTGATTTCAATTTGATCCACCATGATATTTCCATCAGCTAGGGATGTTGATGAGAATGGTGGATTGAATTTAGGTTGCATTATTGATGCAAGTTGCAAGTTATTGATGGAAATTAAAAATGGTCCTAGTTGACTGTAACTAATAGTTATTGGAGATAAGATAAAACTTTAATCTGGAAATAGCAAGGATTAATTCAACGCCTGGATGAACTCAATGAATGCGAAGAGCTAGAAGAAGCAGTACAATTATAGGTAAGTAAAATACTGAAAAATATTCTAACGTTATTCAATATGTTTTCTTCTTTTAAAAATTTTATATTTTTCATATAATGATGTGATTTTGATTGAAACATAGTTCATTCGAATAAAAATGGCATCTGATATATCTACCCGTTCCCACCACAACCATACAAATTTCATGGAAATAGAAATGTACCCAAACCTCGATTGATTTGTGTGCGGCACTGAAACTATTTACGAATTGAAGAATGTGATGGATGCCACAATTACAATCCACCAGACAATAAAAGACGATTTTGATGGATTGATGAACGTATCGGTGAATTTAAGAACTCGCTAATTGACATTAATGCAACACAACGCACCTATTTTTGTTAGCGTGTGAAGTGGGCTTCGGTTTTATTAGTATTCTGTGCTGTTATAATGTCGATGACACTACAAAATGGACGTGTCATGTGAATTTGACAACACTGTGTTCGTTTGACATTTAATATTTGGTCAGTGAACGGCTCGTTAAAATAATTAAAGGGGTCTGTTTCCTAATTATTATCAATCAATCAATACCATTACGAATAAAATAATTTGTTGAAAACCTGCTAATGACGTTCATATTTATCAAGTGATGCAGCAGGACAACTGCTTTATAATAATGCGCTTTTTGTCGAATCACCGAAGGCTATTGGACGGAAACACTTTCATTTGACAACAGGTTTTAGGTTTTCCCGTCAGTTTTTCACTACAGCAATGCTTCTTGCTGTCGGTCGATTGTGGAATTGAGAGGAAATGGGTGTAAATAATGACGAATTCCGATCATTTGTTTATGATTAAACGATACAGTGTCAAGTGAAAGTATGAGTGAAAGGAAATTTGCTCGCGGCCTGGGGAAGCCAGGAACTGCAGCTCAGATGAGGGAAACTGTCTCGCAAGTTGTTAGAGAAAGCACTGTACAAGTAAGTAAATAACACTGCTCAAACTAGATAGTTAAATAGGGCACACATTTCGTTTACATACATTTAAAACTGACGCAAGCCATTCTCGTCCAACTTATCATATCAACTCTATTCTATTTTTATTACATAATTTTATCTTTATTTATTTAGAGTTACGCCTATTTTCATTGGTGCACTCTCTTCAGAGACGTAATAATCGGAGACGTGATATTTGACTTGAGTTAAAAATAACACTTATTATATTTGAGATGAAAATATCTCAGTTTTATCTCATCTGGAGGTGTCGAAAGTTAACAAGAAATACTTGGATGATCACAGCACCTGTAGATGTCAATAGGTATATTCAAGTTATTAGGTATATTCAAAACCTATGAACTGAAATCACAGACTTATATAGATATGTATTTTTATGAATGTGTGCTAAGTATTTTTTCAACCCTTATCAGTTCAGTACTGATAAATAATATTTGACCAACTATATGAAGTAGGTATAAGTTTCTGAGAACTTGAGTTCTCAGCATTTTCAAATTTTAATTACTAGTACTGGTGACTGAATTCAGTTGGGACATAGTTTTGTGCATATGTGCAGAACCTGATTATTTAACTGTATTTTGGAAATACATGAAAACACTTTTAATACAAGAACTGAAAATCTAAAAGATTTTTGATAGCTCTGAAATAGACAAATTCTATATTTACTTTTTCTAATACTCTCCACATTTGAGTTCTAAGTCAGGTGTACCTCAAGACTCCATTTTGTGACCTTTACTTTTTGATATTTATACATCCAATTTTTACCACAGTAATATATTCTTGTATGCCAGAGATACACAAATATATTCCAGCTTCCTAATTCAGTTCAAATTTTATTCCATCGTCTAAACTGAGTATAAAATTACTACACTATGTAAGAAAGGTTATTGTAGTCCAGTAGTCCTTTATGGAATAAGGAGTTCATGGATTGTGTAAAGTTCAAACGTGGTACATATAAATTAGAATTACCCCTAGTGGGGTAATTATGAATTTGGTGACGGAAAAAAATAAATTGGTCAAAATGTGAGGGTGCATTACCGGATGAATTCACATCCATTAATGAAGTTGATGTCATTAATGTAAAGAACAAACAGAAGCGGGCCCAAGACACTACCTTGAGGTACACCATTATTGACACCTTTTTGATTTGAATATGTCCCATTGATTTTAGTTTGTTGAGTTCGACCAGAGAGGTAGCTTTCAAACCATTCAAGAACTGAACCGGAAATTCCATAATATTTGAGTTTTTTTAGTAGGATATTAACGTAAATTGTCTCAAATGCCCTTTTGAAGTCTAGAAACACTACCACTATATATTCATTATCATCAACAGCAAGTTTCCATTTGGATATTGAAACTTGTAATGCTGTTCCACATGAGTGTTTAGATCGAAAACCGGATTGGTTCATCATAATCAGTTTATTACTTTTTATGTAATCAATCAATTGTTCATTTCTCCGTCTCAATCGTTTTTTCAATGGGGGATAAAGTATTTATCGGAGGAAAGTTGATGGCTTTATTAGTATTATTGATTTTTCAAACAGGAATTACTGTACTATTTTTTAGTTTTTGCGGTACTTTACCAGTTCTAAGTGATGTATTAACCAAATTTAATAATACTCCACTGATTGCCTCAAACACACTTTTAAGTACTTTGTTGTTTATATAATTGGAGTTACATTTGTTATCAAAGTCTCTAATTATAGTTTTAAGTTCTGACATTGATAATAATCTAAATTTAGTTATCTCACAATTAATAGGTGGGATATTATTGTTAGTCCAAAGGGAAGAATGGAGAATGGTGTTCTTAATGTCTACTATACTGACAATGAAGAAACAATTGAACTTTTCTGCTTTCTCTATATCATGGGTGACTTGACAGACTCCTTGGGCTGCTGGAAATAATATTGTGTGTAGAAGTGAATCGTTTTTCTTTCGAGTTTTTCAAGCAATTGTTGATTTTATCAGTATAATAATTGGTCTTTTTCATTTTTAGTAAATTGACAACTTCATTTCTGCAACTTTTATATATAACCCATTTGAGTTATTTGTGAACTTCAGTGGAACGTGTTTTAAAATCTTTATATGCCCTATCTCTACATTTGGTTAACTCTCTAACTTCATTATCATACCAAGGAAGTTGACCTCTCAAATTGAAAGCTTTCATAGGGGAAGTGGTATCAATATTTGTTTTCAAATATTGTTCAATGTTGGAGTATATCACATCAACGTCTGCAGAATTCAAGTCCCAATTAGAGTGCATCAGTGACTTGTTTAATGTATTGAGATCATATTTGCTAAAGTTTCTGAAGTATTTTGTTTTATTGTTACTAAAATTATAAGTGGCTTAAATTGAAATGGTGATTATATTGTGATCAGTGATTTTAGAGGTATCATAAACTATTGATGAAGCATAAGCTGTATTACTTAGTACATAGTCGATTAAAGTGCTACTGTTATTTGTAACTCTGGTAGGATCTTTGACCGTCTGCCTAATTCCCAACGAAGTAATATAGTTTTTAAATTGACTAACATTTCTATTATTATCATCTAGAAAATTGAGATTGAAATCTCCTATTAATACACATTTACATTGATCATTAAAAATATTCTCTGCTAAATCTTCAAAACTATCGAGAAACATATTGAAATCTGAGCTAAGTGAATGGTATAGACATCCAACTAATACCTCTCTTTGTTGAAACTTCAGCTTAATAACCAAGCACCAATATATTCTGTCTACTGATATGTTTTTGTAGACAGTCCATTTGATATTATCACGAACATACAACACTACATCTCCAGTGTGACGAATCTGTGAATCACATCTCACTATTCTATAGCTATCTATTTTAATTTCGATATCCATTATATCAACGGTTGTACGTGATTCACTGAGCAGCAGGATTGTTGGTTGATAGCATATTATATCCTGAACAAGCTGATCGTGATTGGCTACAAGACTTTGGATATTTATGTATAAAAATTCACTACAGAAGGGTATTACAAGATGCCGAGTGATTAGTTTTTTCTTACTGGAGACTTGACAACAATCGGAATGTTATTTATGTATTTTATGGTCTTGTCAGTTTCGCCATTATTTATTAGTTCATTCAGTTTATTTTTAATTGATAAATAATATTCCTTTTGCCTTTTTGTTTGATCACAAAAAATTATTATATCAGGAACGTTTGTTTTTTTTATTTTGTAAAATAAGATAGCTTCTTCATGGTTCTTCAGTACAATTTTCAATGGTCTGTTTCTATCCGGGATGTATTTTCCAAGCCGAAATGTATTTTTTATGGTTACTTGATCGGTGAGTCCGCCAAGAATTCTTTTTACATTTTCAGTATCACTCTTTGCCTTTGCCAAATGGTTATTCTCTCTGGATTCCTGGATGTTGCATATTATTATGTTTGCTTCTCTATTTCGCCTTTCTTGGATTTCCTGAATAATTTCATTCATGCTATTATCATTCTTGTTTTCATTTTGTTTTGCTATGATTTCTCGCAATTTTGTGTTTTCTTCCAATAAAGTCTTGTTGATTTCTAATACTTCATTTAGCTTTTTGATCATCCTGAGAACCTTCTTGAAGTTTTCCTAACAAGAAGTGCAAAAATACAGTAAAGTATGTTTTTTTTAACACAATTGCCCTAACTTCTGAACGAGTCAGCAGCAGTAAATAGCAGAGCAACTATTGCATATAATTGTAGATTCAGTAATTTCTATTACGGAATTGCATTTCTCGCATGATTCCTCATTTGACATAATTTATTATTTTACTTTTATCCTAGTTTACCGACAATTCACAAATCAGTCAATGTTCACTGGACTATTTTGTGGTAGGATCGTTGGCTTCTTTCTTATCGATTAGAAGAACATTATCTCTTACTTATCACTGATTTTTTATTATCCTTTTTTGTTGGAATGTGTTTCATTCACATTCACATTAAGTGCAGTTTTATTAAGTGTCCAAATGGTGAATACATTCAAATCTGTAACTGTTTTATTCATTAACTTTAAGTAATTCTACTTCAATTTATACTTTTCAAATTTCTACTTTTCATTAATGGAGACACAAACACATCTACTAAACAATATGAGTTTTTTTGCATTGTAGACGTATACTCTTGAGTGATTTATTTAGCAAAATCTCGAAAGAATTTGTACACATTCTAAATTATCAAAATTGTTGAACTCATGCACTAAAAACCCTGGGAAAACCTTTTTTTTCTTCTGTTAGGTGGTTTTGTTGGTTTAACTTTAAGTTTGGAGAGCCCACAATGTCAGTTAAATATACAGCAAACATTTGGGGTACATAAATAGCCTAAAACTATAGTTTATAAAAAAATAATTTCCGAAGTTGTTATATTTTTTTTTAACACAGATTCACAGCATACATACAGGGAATTCAGACGTGTTTGTTTTTGTATATTTTTTTAAAGCTTTTAGAGGCAACATTCATTTTGTCATGTAAGTATTGTAAATCTGAAAGTAGTCTTGACTAGTAAATTTTTTAACAAATCCACAAATTCTATATGATGAAGTTTAGTTTTAGAGAAAAAAATGGATTTTTTTCAATAATGGAGACATGAAGTAAAAGTAACTCTTCATTTTAGATAAAATCACATTTCAGATTTCCGAAGGTTGTAAGATATTTGCTAATAAAAAAGTACTTACTGCTTGCTCATCCCTTTAATAATTATTTACTTGTTTTGTTAACCTACAATCTACAATAAATTGAAAGCGTTTTCAGAATAAGCCACACCTAGTTGAACCATTGGACTTTGAGAAATTTCTTATCAAGAACAAGACAGTATTGCAGAATGATCCACAGAGAGAATTACTCTTGTACCCGCAGGAAGATATTACTGTAAGTACATCTTTCCATTTTGTCTTTTTTCAAAAAGAGAATATTTCAAACTGTTTACCTTTGACAAATCTTCCACATCTTCCACTGGAGTAGTATAAACTAATGACTTTAGATTTTTTTTACTCAGTAGGTCCAGTGTAGTACGCTATACCTTTATTTTGGCTATGTTAATAATTTGAAATTAGTAAAATTGTTACTGTCGAAAAATTTTTCCGCGCCGTATCTTTGAAACAAAGTGCCCTATCAAAAATCATCAAAGGACAAACTATTCTTAGAATAGTCCAAGGAATAGTCCCTTGATTTTTTTCCGCATGTTTAATAAACACTCTGTATATTAATAAAGATGAATATTTCATAATGAACTTGTAATGGAATTTCTGTCAAACTGGGTAGTAGATATAAGTCAAGATTTTCAAAGAGAACCCTGTACATTTTTGAGACCATTTGATAGAGTATAAAATTATTTTTTCAATGATATAATACAAGTGACCATTCACCTTCAAAATTGTCTCATAGAAGCTATTTTCTGAAAATTCATTATGATGTCACTATGATGTCATTAACCCAGAAACAACTGAATGGCACTGTGAACAATGTTTTCATTTTTTGCCCAGTAATATTAATGAATTGTTCCTACTATAAATTATAATTCAACAGTAACTACAATATCTCAACTTCTAATCGATTTGTTTGCTAAGTGTAAATAACTATTAATATATTTTCACTCTTCATTTTTTCCTGCCTTCTCGATTTTCAAACATAATATGGAAACTTGAGAAATCTGATATTAGTTTTCTGATTATGTATATTTCAGTAATATGAGCATTGTTTATCTGTTCCTTGTGGTTTGAACATGATAATTTTATGGGGCATTTAAAAGGTGTTTAGCATTCCTTTAAACCATTAACATTAATCAATAGAACAATACACTCAATATTCCTGGAGACATGTTTTGATACCTGATATAGAACACTATAAAATTCAATTTTTAAAGTGCTTTGTTTTCTGTTACATTTGTGGGCAGTTCTGTAAGATCTTATCTGCTTGAAAGTATCATTAAGAATATACTGAAATATACATATTTCATAATTAAATGAGTGGGTCGATTTATTATGTGAAGTGTTTTGTGATTAGGGAGAATGTTTGTCCTTGAAAGTTTATCAGAGGAACTTTTGTTAGGTGTTTTATTCAGTGTCATTAATAATAATATATCTACCCAGCAAATCTTTCCTCAATGGAACGTTTGCCGGCAATATAATTTTCTATCTGTTACTTGCATGCATTCAATGATCTGCCTTGCCTGTGTCCCATCGGCAGACACAGGGACAACATTATAGCCGACAGCGAGCCGTCTTGATCTCGATCACTGCTTGTAGTTTCTTGCTAATGCTGGTCCATCGGATGCGATAGTTATTGTCAATTTTAAGATTTTGCTAGATTACCAATTGGCTGGAGCCAATTATGAGCCATTATTTGGTCCATTGAAATAGCAGCTACAAGCCATTGTAATCATAAATATTTAATGACTCCAGAATCTCCTATTATCATATATTGCCGGTAATTTCTACATATTGTTCAAATCTTCATGTACATGTTTGAACAAGATCAAATATCATATCAAGGGGTACGCAAAGTGACAATATTTTCGGTAACTTACCTGATTTATCTTTTAGATGTACTGTAAGTCAATCAACTGTTTCAGAGCACTATAGTTGAATATTAGATATAAAATAAATTGAAAGGGGTACATTTTTAGGAGATTAATTTTTGGGAATGAAAGGTTTTGGTTTTCTACTTCTCCATCTTCATACAGAAAAATGTAGGAATCTTTCAAAGAAAGGAAGAAAGCAATTAGTTTCAAAAATTAACTCTATACGAAGGTGTGTAGATCATGCAAAGAAGTAACTTTCAGACACAAACTGGAAGAAAAAGCCCTCTCGAAACAACTAGTACAAGGAGCTATCTCTCTCTTTCTATTTTTCATATTTATGCTTGGTGGACGTTCTATCTGTAGCTGTCTTGGACGAAACAGGATCGTATTAGTTTTTGATTCATTAAGAATCAATTTATTACTTCAATTATCACCCCCGCATAAAAGGTTTGTGTCATCAGCATAATTTGTAATAAACTGATCTTCTTCAATAATGGTTGCACATAGATCATTCATGAAAATTATGAAAAATGTTGGACCGATAATACTACCCTGTGGTATTCCAATATTTGATGATGATATTTCAGATTTATACATTTTTCCTTGATTCTTAATGCACACTCTTTGAGTTCGTTCAGTGAGATAAGATTTAGCCCATTTCAGAGCATTCTGTCTAACACCATATCTCTCTAGTTTAACCATCAACAGGTTTCTATCCAAACAATCATAAGCCTTGAAAAGGTCCAAAAAGATTCCCAAGGCTAGTGACTTTTTTTCCATGAAATATAATATATTTTGAGTGAACTGAAAAATGGCCGACATTGTTGACCTTCCTTGGATATACCCATGTTGATTTTTACTAAACATGTTGCATTCATCGAAGAAGTCAATTAATTGTGTACAATATGCCAATTCAAATATTTTCGCAAAACTTGGTGGTATACTTATGGGTCTGTAATTATGTATGTCTGAAATAATGTTTTTTGTATAACTCAATGTTCATATAAGAGTAGTTGTTTCAAGAGGATTTTTTTCTTTCCAGTTTGTGTCTGAAAGTTACTTCTTTGCATGATCTACCGTCTTTGTAAAGAAAAGAGTTCATTTTGAAGTTAATTGCTTTATTTGTATAAAGATGAAGAAGTAGGAAGAAAAAACATTTCTTTCCAAAAGATATCGAATTTAATGCTAATCCTTAAAACTACATTGTGAAGAACCATTTCTATAGTGAAAATAATGTGCAATTTAAAAATCGAATATTCTCAGAAACCTGGTATACGGCTTATTAAATGTAAACCGTAAATATAAAAACTTTCATGATATTCTTTACTACTACTTTGACTTTGCTTTTACAGAAAAACGAGTTAAAGCCAAAACGACTGTTATGAATTGGGTCAAGTACAATATAAAAAAATACTCACAATGTAATTAGTAATCTGCATAGCATTTCAAGGAAACAACAGATATAAACAAGAAAGGAAAGCATACAGAAAATATCTATCAAGTTACAAGCAAACAGTAAATGATGAAAATGAAAAAATGAACGAACGGTATGCCATCTGATGAATGGCAATATGTGAATTATTTTCACCCATTGCCATCAATGTGCCCATGACTCTAGTGAATGCCCGACAATTAACTGACCATCAAGTTTTTCTGAGTATTTGTAGGGATAGTGCATCCCACTCCAAGATAACTTTGTTTTCAATTTCTTTTGAATGTGATTGACGATGTTTTTATTGATTCTTCAAATTAGTATTTAAAATTATTAGGACCGAAATAGAAATATTCGAAAGTTATTAGAAAAAGCAAAAACATTAAATAGTTATTCAAAGAGCCTTGCTTTAAATCTGCAGAACGAAGTCAAGAGACCCCTGTAAATCTCTGTTTAAACACCACAGAAAAATGTCATTGACGTGTATATTTCTCTTGGAGAGTGTATGCTTGACTTACAAAAAATTTCATCATGCAATCAATTCAACTTTCCCCTTACCTGTACCCAGAAGCTCGGCGATAAAAAACTCTGAAATCGACAAAAAAATAACTTGCCAATGGATGTTTGTTTCTTATCTGTATATGCTGAATTCAGGAATGCCCTAAAGGAGCTACTTTTAGACTATGCATTTTATACATTGGAGAAATTTTATGAGGAAATATTCTAAGATCTGAATTTCTTTTATATCAGAATATTGTTGTTTTTATCCATCTTATAAAGTTAAGTGTATATGTTAATTTTATTCTGTAATAATTCTCCCATTTTGTTTATTATTTCTACAATGACTTTGTCAACAAGTCTTGTTTCTTCTGACAATAAAGTATATTGATTGATTAAAAAAAGGAGGAAATAAACAATGAATATGAGAGGTGGAAATATAAGATTCAGTATTTCATCTTGAACTAATAATAGTATTTTATGGAACATATTCAAGGAGCTTACACGTTTTTTCAGCAAGTCGTTTCACCCAGAAAATTTCGGACAGTGTCACAAACATTTCCTTCCACTGCTGAAACAGAGAACTGCAGCCTTTTCAGTAAACAGTGCATCAATAGCTATTCAAGCAGCTGGAATCTGATCCACTACAAATATAATGCCTATTCCGGAAGCTACGCTGATCTACCCCAGAAACCACAAGAGAATAAGCTGCAAGAAGAAATTTACGAAGTAGATATTGATACTGATGCTCTAGATGAATTGAATCCTGCTATAGATAATATTACTAAAGAGGGATTTTTGTTGAAGGGACCAGAAATAGGTAAGGTTGATTGTTTTTGAAGCAAGTCATTGTAGTCACAAAATGGTACAAGGATTATGTGTTTGAACTAAATACGATTTTATTGCAGGGTCTGAAAGATCCTTCGTAAACATTGGCTCAAAAAGTTTCAAAAAACGATATTGTTATTTGAGGCAGGAAGTAGACGGAACATATATGTTAGAAATGTTTAAAGACGAGAAAAAAGGTGAAGCTAAGGTTACTATTGTGATGGATTTCTGTACAGATGTTATAAAGGTAATAAATAATTTGGGCAATGATGAAAATACTGGGATTTTTTTGTGAAAGATGTTGAATAATTGGGGTTACTCTGTTTTTTTCTGAAGCCCAATCAAAATTCAATCAAACAACATTCATATTTGAAACGAACTTTTATTGTATGGCAATCATTTTGTTTTTCAAAATAATTTTTCAATTTTTTTTCAGAACTTGAAAAGGGGAAAGTTTTGTTTTGAACTGAGGATGACAGCTGGACACAAATCTTATTTGTTAGCTGCCGAAAGCGAATCCGATCTTAAAGACTGGTTAAGTAAGTTGAGTTCTGTTCTGCAACACAATAAAATTCAAGAGGAAAAGCGTGCTGCTTCTTTGGAAAGAGGTAAGGTTTACAATTGGTCAAAAATAAATATGCATCGTGTTTTTTTTGTACTAAAAAATTCCTTGGAAAAATCGAAGAAGGAATATCACTAGCATGTGTGAAATAATATGGATTATATTGTGCTGTATATAATTTTGCTGGCTGAAGTCTATTAGTGTCTGTCGAAAATATTCCTCCAACAAAGTATTTAATGATTTCGGAGTCTCATAGGGTAGTTAATCACTCATAAGATATAAATTAAGTTGGCGATTGTGATGTTATTGATCGATTTGTAAATGAGGCTTCATTGGCTTAGTATGATGAACTCCCGAATATTGCATTACTAAAGATAAACGGAGTTTTGAAAGAGGTTAATATTTGAAGGGTAATAAACTTAAACTGCAGTTGGAAAAAAAAACATTTACACAATGGCGCTATCATCTAGTCAAGGTTAAATAGTAATTGTTTTTCTCTTTACCAAATTAGATATAAATTGATTAATGATTGATAGATAAATTTTTTCAATGAAAGATTTAAAAGTTCTGAAAAATTGATTGAAACCTAAAGGCCAGGGTTAGTGTTATTGAATTAGGTTGTCAACAAAAAAGCCCACGCTTGAACTGGAGATGACATATATAATAATTATTCAAATTATCATGACCACCAGTTTAGAATGATGTTCTTTTATTCTCGTTTATTTATGAGAAGTTTTTTTGCAAAGAAGTTCAAAGCAGGCTAGTTTGAATTTAATTTCATTAGTGAGAAGATCAGAATTGATGTCATAATTGAATATTCAAAGACCATTTATTATATGTATATTTGCATAAGTTAATAAGACAAAATTCTTGGAAAATGAATTGAATTTTTAATGTCATAGATTAAAAGGGTCTTTGTACCAAAGAACTAATAAAGATAATCTATCTATCTATATCTAGTTGAATTGACTTGGGATATGACATGTTGAATAACCAAATCAAATACCAAGTAACAATCTTGCTTTATTAGTTGTTTTGGCTATGCAGAGTTGCAGTCTTACAAAACTATTTCAAGAGTATAAATGAACTATAAACTTGCCCCTCTTGAGTATTTAGGTGTTGTATAAGTATTCCTAGAATATGAATTCAAGAATAATGTTTTATAAAACATATTTTATAAACGTGAGTACATTGTGGCAGTTACATGAACACAACTACATGTAATGCACACAAAATTCCAAAAAATTGTATTCTATTGGCCAATTTAGGATAGAAGAATAATCAAAAAATATTTTTTTGAATTACTCTTCTTGGTTATTGTACGCTGTTACGGTCTCTTAATGTTGTAATACATGACTTGGGTTGATTAATAAATGTTGATCGCACTCTCTATTTTAATTTTTCTGAAACCTATCGAAATTTTTCTTTTCTGTTCCAGAACGTAGTACTCCCCCTCCGTCTCCTCAAACCCAACAGCCTTTCGGTACTCTCAAAGGCCTTGACCAAAGCATGAACCCCCAGCTCATGCGGTACGGCAGGGAAACGGAAGTCAGCATAGCTGCTTCACGTAGAGATCACCGCAAGAAAATCTTCCAAGTTTACCCGAACCTCGTGATGAACGTAAAGCCTCAAAATTCTAGTCAGGACCAAAAAGAACCATACCGCGAAGTGTTCGGCCAGCGAGTGCTCCTCAGGTGCGAGAGCATCAGATTAAAATTACAAGTTGTAGACGATAGAGATAATCTTTGCCAAGTAGAACCCTACCACACAACATTGTGCCTGTTCGATGCCAAAAACGGTAGAAAACTGACTGAAAATTTCCATTTCGACGTTAATAGCACTAGCATTAGGAACACCGTCAACAACGGAATGTGTGGCGACTCGCTCAATAATTCTAAAGTGGACCTGCTGCCTGGGGTGTCCTCGGAGTGGATGATGTACCCGAGACAGGCCCTTCTGAGCATCATGAACCCCCATTCGGATATCTTTCTTCTTGTAAGGATAGAGAAGGTGTTGCAGGGGGGCATAGGGCAGAGCTCGGAGCCCTATGTGAAAGCGAATAAAGATCCTCGAATTAGTCAGAAAGTTTATAGGAACATAGCCATGTGCTGTCAAAGACTGGGAAGGTATCGGATGCCATTCGCTTGGGCTGCCAGGCCTCTTTTCAGGTAAGGCAACGTTTGTGGAATGTTCAGTTCCGATGATAAGCATAATCATTTGTCGCTTCAATAAAGTTCATTCCTAGGCAATAAATGACAGTACAGAAAATACTAAACATAAACACTATTTCCAACAAAAACCCATTACTTCACAATTTATCACAAAACATTTTACTAAAACAGTCACTACCTTAAACCATTGTACTTCTGATTTCATATCAGCTGTCGCTGTCAACCTTGATGTCCTCTCCATTTTTTAAATTTTGATTTGATTGCATCAACTGTTGAGGTCATTTCGCCCTTATCTTCTCAATTTCTGACTATATTCGGTTGGAAATATTGTTTCATTTGCAATGTTCAACTACGCTCTGACATTATTGTACTTGGGACAACTGACAAGTATATGCTCTACCAATAATGGTTTATGACATATCTCACATATAGGTTATCTTCTCTGAGCAGATATGAAGAGGTCAATTTAGTATGTCCCATTATTAAAAAAGGTAATTTAACTTGGCGGTGTCAATTCAGATGATTGGAACATTTTCATTTCACAACTGTATTGTTGATTTTTGGTAGTTTTGCTGGTTCAGTTTCTCTGGCAGATGTTTGCCTCGTTATGGCAGGTATTTTCGAATGTGACAGAAATTGTAATTTGAACTCAATAAAATTAATTCATTCACTCATTTCAATTTCCTCTAAAGCCAACATGATTTGGTGTCCAGAAAAAATGACTTATTTTCCATTTTGGGTGAGGAAGTGAAGAAAATCGCTCATTTTTTGAGTGAGGTTTCTGTTTTGTTTCCAGATGTACTTGTGGACATCTGAACACAAGACATTTTTTTTTTAATTTTGCTATCTGCCAGTATATATTTGTTGGTGAAGCTGGTGAAGCGAATATTCACTTGTGAGTTTTATAAACTTTTTAGTCGGTCATAATGGAGTTTGGTGTAGTCTAGCAAATCAAATTGGCATTTTGAGTGACTGAAAGCCAAGACAGATTTTCAAGTATACTCTATGAAAGGAGATATTTCAACAGATTGTATAGTAATGAATTAGATACCACATCCGACTTTCACGCCATTTACAGACAGGAACCAAATAAAATATCAGATGAAGAAATGGTGAGGTTGCTGTCTGAATATAGAAAACCTGATAAATTCAATAAATTCACTGTGATTCCCGGATCGTTAGAGATAAAAGTGTCTGCCATTAATGATCTTACACCAAGTAAGCCTAAGTTGGTAATAAGAAGTGTGTAATTGTTTTGTTTTTCACAGTTTTTTTAAACTTTGGTTTTGTTCTTAGTCAAGTAAAAATTTCAACAACAAAAAATTGTAAATAATATTGCCTTTTCGTTTGTTTTAGATACATTATCTACTTCATTAGCGCCATTAAAACCGTTTCCAGTTCCACCGACTTCCGAACCTACAGTGGAAATAGCGGAATTAGAGGGGTTACCAGACAAAGATGTCAATCCTTACACTATATTCATCAATCATTTATTTGTTTATCCACTGAGTCTGAATTTCGATACACAAAAGACGTTTTCTAGGGCTAGGAATATCGCATGTGTCATAGAACTTAGGGATTCTGATAATGAAGAGGCTAAGGGGTTGCAAGTGAGTACACAATATCAATATAAATCAGTTCTAAACATTTCATTGTCCGAAGAAACATGGGCAGTGTTTATAAGTAGGGACTATAACTAACTACAAAATATTATGAAATAACGGTAAAAGAAAAAAGATATTTTACAAAAAACACAACAGAACATTGAAATAGGGTCAGAAATGACACTGGTTTCAGAAATTTGTCCAATTCAGTACATGTTAAATTATAGTAATTAGAATGTTTTTCAATTGATATTTAAATTTCGTCCATTCAATCATAAACGAGTCAAAATATGTTTTTATTAGATTCTAACTGATTCGGAAAAGTCTGAACCATCGCTCACTAATTAACAAAAGAACTTGTTTTTATACTTGTGTGTATACTCACTCCTGAAGAAGGTATTGTATAGCAAAACACGTGTTGTGTTTTTGTAAAACTGTTTTGGGAAAATCTCACAATAAAGTGTTTCTTGAATAAATTTTATTCTAGATGACATTTTATTACATATACATACACACATAACATAGGATAACACTACAACATGTGTTTCAATAACGAAATTGTTCTTGTCTGAAGATCATATATTTTATATCATAGCATGAGTAGTAAAACAGCACTTAGACTGGTATTAGACTATTCATGTATGCTAATTTAAAAATTCAATTTCCATTCAATTTATTCAACTCAATTCTGAAGTACAACTCTACTAATAACATAATTAATATTATATAATTCAGTCTGAATGAGTAAATGACGCCTATTCGTATAAACAATCAACAAATAATTGTCTACAACTCATAAAAGAATATTATAAGTAAAAAAAAGTAAAAAAAAGGAACAAAAATCAAAAACGTTTCTAATATAAGTGATATTTGGTATTTCAGTGTATATATGGTCGTCCTGGTCAACCTCTACTAGTCTCTCAAGCCTCATGCGCCGTTCTACATCACAATACCTTTCCAGTATGGTACGAAGAAGTTAAAATAAGGCTACCTACAAACATACTCTATTCTCATCACCTACTGTTTACGTTTTACCACATTTCCTGTGATACTAAAAAGAAAGAGAATGGAGTAGAAAATTGTGTTGGTTATGCGTGGTTACCATTGTTACAAAAAGGCAAACTGAACGTTGATGCTCAAACTATACCTGTTGCTTCGCAATTGTTACCCGGATATTTGTCCGTACATCCTTTTGGATTAGGCAAGGGGGTTAGTATAATTTCTAGAAGTGAATATTTTTTCAAAAGTCTTGACATTTTATATCTTCAGAGCAGAATTTTTCCAAATTATTTCTAGCAAGATCTTCATTAACAGGTAAAAACTTGTACTGTACTTATTTAATTATGTTTTGAGAGGTAGAAATCGTACATGCCCTATTTAAAAACTTGAGTATTTGATTAAACAAAATCATAAAACAATTCAAAGTTGAGTAAAAAAACAGTTTTACCGAGTTATTTCTAAAAAGAAGTATTTATCTATGTATTAAGAGATAAAAATATTTCAAGTAATGACATACAAGGTTATCAAACTTTGACTGACTTTTTGATTGAACAAAATTATAAAGAAATTGTGTACTGAATATAAAATGATTTTTTTTTCAGATTATAACAATCCTGCAAGTAAAAAACATTTCCATATTACTGACAAAGCTATTTAAAACTTTGTGTTTGTGACTTAACAAAATTATAAAACTAGATCCGTATATAATTGATTGTTTTTACAGATGAAAATCATACAATATAATTTGCTGTTGCATAAACTAAACGCTTGGGTATTCAAGAAAACATTCTGAAATGGTCTGAAGAATTATGAAAATTGACACTGTTTCATTTTTTTGTTTTTCGCTGATTTGTGTAAAACACTCTTTGAAATAAAGATTATTATTATTATTATTATACCGTATCAATTTATTAAAAGATAACGAATTTTTTTCCAGAGCGCTGGACCAGAAATCACTTGGATAGACAGCCAGAGACCAATATTTACCGTTGGTTTCAACTTAGTTTCAACAATAAACACGAAAGATCAACACCTGTTCAACCTTTTCAATCACGCAGAGCGTCTTCTAGATCCGAAACCTTCAGCCCTTCCTTCGGAAACAGAAACTTGCAAAATTTTGAAAGCTCTTCATGCGATTCACCTAACCACACTCATAACTTTCCTTCCGACGTTGTTCAATCAACTCTTCGCTCTATTAGTCGCAACAAATAGCGAGGAAATCGGACTGAACATCATCAGGGTGTTGATAAATTTGGTAGACATGATATATAACGTGAACCGTAAAGAGATATTGCAAGCTTATGTGAAGTTTGTTTATGTTTCTCCAGAAAGCAAGAAGAATATCACTGTTCATGAAGAAATGTGCAAGCATTTACCGACTATTTTACATCCAAACAATACTGATTTTCTTGTCGTTAATAAGTTCATGCATCATTCCGATTTCTTTTTTGAAATCATTGTCAAAGGGATGGCGCAGCATTTGTTGTCGACTGGGAGAATTAAGGTTGGTAAACTCTGTTGCGATGTATGACTTTTGTCAGTTATCTGTTACGAGTTGTAGATGCATCGACACGAGAGGTTTTCTACGGAGTACCTGAGTAGAGTGGAGAATTTGATGCATGTTTTGATTCCCTATGTTCTTAACAAGTACAAGGAAATGCCACTAGAAACGAGAGAACTGAATAAGAATATGGCGTATTTTTTAAAGGTAAAACTGGTTGGAATATTGCTGTCTGTTCAAAAAATAAGATGAATTTTCATTTTGCACAAAAAATATTTTCAAATGAACTTTGCTGCCACACACTTCAGGCCCAAAATTTACGAAAAAATTGCATGGCATGAGCCAACTGAAATGCTGACATCCTCAACAACTTCTCTAATCAGCACCTAAAGAGATAAGTTTTTACGAAAAAAATTATTATTTTCGGTAACCTAACTTAACCTATAATATTACCTTTTTTTCCAATATTCATGTGGTAAAGCAATTTACAAAACGATTTTAAGAAGTAACTAGTATAAATCGAAAAATGCATTTAAAATTTTTTCAATTCATAATCATGAGAATAATCAGTTTTCCTAATAACATCAGCATTAATTAAAGTTTTGACTTTAATTTCACAGAAATGCCTTTCTCTAGTAGACCGAGGCTTTGTATTCAAGCTCATCAATAATTACATGGACAAATTTAATCCGGGCGATGCAAAACCATTACAAGAGTGCAAATTCAGCTTTTTAGAAATTATTTGCAATCACGAACATTACATCGCGTTGAATCTTCCGATACAATTCAGCAAACTCAGTCCCAGAAATCGATCTCCTGACTGTTCGAAAGAATTCACCCTTTCCGAGGAGTTTTGCAAACACCATTTCATCGTCGGATTGCTCTTACAAGAGATCAAGACATCCTTGAATGAAGTTACGCATATCAGAAAGATAGCTTTGATTACGCTGAAGAATCTTCTCGCCAAGCATGAGTTAGACGATAGATATAAGAGTAAGGTGAGTCAAATAATGTATTATTTAGGTTCGTGTACAAACCAGACTGTTGTATTTGTAGGGTCAGATGAACAGAATCGCCATCATTTACCTTCCATGGTTGGGGATTGCTTTAGACAATCTCGCTAGGTTAGATATGAAAGGAGAATTGGATGATGAGGGTAACGACAGTATTCATAACAGGATATCATCTAGTAGTTCTTACTTGTTTGGAAAGAGCTCTGCTGTAAGCGAGAGTACGCCACGAAACCATAGGTTTACGTTACATTTTGATAAGGACAGTCCGATTCATATGAGAAATTCTGCATTTTTTGAAGCCATTGCAGGCCAATGTGAGTATATTTGTTTGGGGCTGTTTTTTTATTCTGCATACGTTAAAATTTATCCAAATCCTTGTGATGAACAGTGGATTACTTTTTGATCTGACTGACTAACTCACTTTGTATTTTATTGCAAAAATGTCATGTAAAGTAGGATGAAAACGTTTTCTATTGATAAATTTATATGATTTACGAAAGTCATAAAATCATTTCTTGTTTCATCAGTTACAATAGCTTGTTAATCTGACCAACATACTTTCTGTCGCAGTAATTACACCTTGTTTTATAAATCTCAGTCTTCGAAGTTTTCATCATCTCATCTTCAGCGTTGCCTAAAACTTGTTGACAATGAGCAACTGTAGAGTCCTTTATTTTTATGTTTAGATTTTTGAAAATATGATCCAACTTGTCAGTTTTTCGTTTCTCGTGTGGAACAACAATAAACTTTAAATCACTGTATTTGTCAAGGTTTGTTTTTATAGAGACACACTCTAAATTCATGTTTCCGAACTATCAGCTATGTTTGAAATTTATCCATTGCTTTTAGCTATCTCTTAACACATTTTTAATGTAATGAGTATGCAATTAAAATCGTTATTGAACTATTGAAGTTAATGAAGGGTTCAACTGGAACCTCTATTGTAAATTAAATCCAGAAACAAGCACTTTTCTCAATTACCAGAAATGCAATAGTCTTCTCGACGCGAGTTTCACTAAGCACCAAATTGGCGTTTTCAGGAGACGAATATAACTGGTCTGTATTTGCGGGTACAAATTTGCGAAAAATTTTCTCGTGAAGGTTCCCGCTAATTTCAGCATATTGATTCATTGAAAAAAAATACAATAGGCTGTTTGGACCTTTGTCACTGACTAAAGCTGCACAAACTCTTCAAACACATTTTTTTTAATGCAAACCATCAGTCAATTGAGTTTTTCTGCTTAATATATTCTATATATTTCATATTGAAATATTCCCTATTATAAACTGTTGATGTTTCTTGGAAATTATAATAAAGTAAAATCAAAGTACAAAAATATCAAAACTATATTAATAACATGCTTTGAAAATTATTTTTTCAGCTCTTGTTAACGGTAATTCTCTGAGTATAGACTCTGACATCTCTACGATGTCTGGAGATGCCCAGTCAACTATTTCCCAAGACCCCAGTATAATAAGGGAAGAACGTCTGAGAATCGATGACACGAAATCTCACAATAGAACAACCTCTCACGTCCAAAGATACGATAAACTCCAACCTCAAGAAGTTAAAGACGTCCTGTTGATATTTTTATTTGTTGTTAAATATCTCAGTGAAGAACAGTTGACAATGTGGTGGCAGAACTGCAGTGAAACTGACATCTACAACTTTTTCTCCATCTTGGAAATTTGTTTGCATTGTTTCAAGTATGTGGGCAAACGAAATATTAAGACAAACGATAACGACAATGCAAAGGCAAAGTCAAAAAAAGCGCACACCCTGCCTGCTAGGATGAATCCTTCTGAAATGAACCACGAGAATACAAGTACTCTGGTTATTCATACCACCAGGGAGAATCTAATTAGCACAGGTATGAAGTAATTAATGAATTTGAAAGAAACCCATCTTATAAATGGTTGCTGGTGCCAAACTTTTTTTTCAGGTGACATCCGCTTAATTTTTTTTTGTTATTTGGCCATTAGCCTCGTGTTCTGGATAGTCAATGTTGATTACTTCACGAGCCACCTAGAGAGATTTTATATTTTATGAATTGATAATAATCAATCAATGACCGTTACACATGCGGCATCAATTTGTGAATCCGAAATGAGTGGACAAAGTATTCAAAAGAACCAAATGGCTATTGCTCCAAACAACCTAATCTTTTGAAATTTACGTTTTTGGGTCAATTTCATGAAGTTCATCAATACCCTATTAATTATTATGTAAAAACATTACGTTTCATCTCTGGCAATTGAAATATTCCAGTATGCGAAACATTAGATAGAATCATTCCTGAATATTACTGGAGTTCTTTCCAAACACCAAATCGTTATATTTAACACCTCGACACGACACCTCGAAACTTAAATTTAATCTTCCTCTTGAAGATGATCACTTGGTGAACGAAACACGTGTCGAGGTGTTAAAAATAACGATTTGGTGTTGGGAAAGAACGCCAGTAATATTCATTACTACACCAAAAGTTAAACAGTACATCATAAGAATCATTCCTATTTTGACAATAAAATTTAAATTTATGATATGAAATTAATGTGCTGTTAAATATGAAGTGGCCACAGTATTTGTGAAAACAAGTATTTATGAAGTAACAAAGAAATGGAACTATAGAAACTTTTCGAATAATAACATTAAACTATCAAACGATAGTAATATGTCATCAATTGGCCCCTAAATTTGAGAAATTGACGACTCGTGTTTGTATAGCATTTACTCTTCGATGTTCTGAGTGCAAACTATCATCCAAATAAGAGCTCTCTCTGATTGAAAGCAAATATCAACTGTTTCGTTTTCGTTTTTCACTTGTAGAAGAAAAGCATATTATATAAAAGTAAGTGTTTTATCACATATTTCATTGGTGACGCAATGTAATCTTTCATTGCCTTAACTGTAGATATTTGCTGGTACCAAAATATTTACTTATATTTAATTTTTTTTTAACTTCACAGATTACACTTCTGACACCATAATGAGATTTGAATCAATAAATATCTTTATTTTCTTACAAACACACATCAAATACCATTCTAGACTTTACTACTTTCTTATGTCATTCTTTGAACAAAAAGTACTATATACTCGAAGAGTTCAAATTGAAACTTAAAATTATCAATCTCAACATACCAATCTGATTGATGAATCTACTTTTGTGTGAAAATCCTGAATGAAACTCTTTTATTTTAGAAAATGAAGTGTTGAAAAAACAACAAGCAATTCTGGAACAACACTTAGCAACCGAGATTGGCCTTATAACTTTAGATTGCATGGGACTGTACTGTATGCATTTCAAGAAAAACCTGATGAGTACAGATGGTGATAATGACATTATGAAAAAACTTTTTGACATTTACCTCACCTTCATTCAAATTGGACAAAGCGAAAACTTGTTCAAGCACGTTTTTGCTGCTTTGAGATCCTTCATCAATAACTTTTCCTTGATTTTATTCCAAGGTGAGTTGATTCGCATTTGCGAACGTGGAATTGAGCTTATGTTTTTCTTCAAGGAAATGCTGTGTTATGTGGACGGTTGTGCTACGAGCTCCTAAAATGTTGTAACAGTCGTCTGGCATCAATAAGGCAGGAGTCTTGTGCGATCCTGTACCTTTTGATGAGGAGCAATTTTGAATTCACCGGTCGCAAAGGACTGACCAGAGTCCACCTGCAAGTGATAATATCTGTCTCTCAAATGCTCGGCAACATCGTAGGACTGAACAATGCCAGATTCCAAGAGAGTCTGTCGTTGATCAACAGTTATGCGTCCAGCGATAAAGCTATGAAAGGATCAGGTGAGTCATATGTAATGAGTCATTCAAATATTGCATGCAAAATGTGCGAACCAACTATGTCTATATATTTTACTATGGGGAGAGAGGACTTGAGTTTATCCTGTTTGGAAGTCACTGATTGAAATAAATTTACTTTTAACCCTTTTATTTTCTATGTGCAATACATATCACATAGATTATTAACGTTCATTAATCGTATTAAGAAACCTAAAATGTTCATAGAGGGACAATAATAAAAAATAAACAAATGTCTCAAGTTTCTCACTATTACATTTTTAAAATTCCTAGATAATTTTGATATCAACGTGCCCCTTACGGCCTTGAAAATTTAGAATGTACTATGGTATTGCCATCTATTGGACAGTAGATGAGGTATTCACCTTTTTCACGATATCATGGAAATTGTAAGGAAATATTTCATTCTTAATTTGAAATAGAATGCTGATGTTATCGAATTTAATGTATTTACATTCAAACAAATAACAAATATGTTTATTTACATGAGTTTTTCGAAAATTCCAACACATGACGTCATTTTCAAACCACAAAAGATTTATTGAAGGGGAAGGTTTGTTATTTATTCATTTTGATCAGTGGAAGGCAAATTTTGCATTATGAGACAATTGGTATTATTTTTTGCCAGTATATTGAAACAAAATGAATGTTTCTCCCATTTCAAAGTATTAGTCTTGTTGAGTTGAAGAGTTTGTAGACGTAAGGCATGGTAGTAAGTAATACTTTGTATAAAACTGGTTGCATCAAAATGTCAACAATATTTTACCGTCATGGTAATAAGAAGTATAATTGTAAAGTTTCACGCCAATTTGAAGATTACAAAGATATGCTTAATATCCTTGGTAATCGGTGTCGTTTGTAAGTAACTGTGAAAAATTGGATTGCAAACTACAAAAGTGATAAACTCCCCAATTATTTTACAAACTTCACCGTAAAACGATTTAATATTCACAAACTGTATTTCCAAAAATATGATGATGAAGAAGAAGACTCTAAATATTGATAAAGAACTTGATATGATTTTATCAAACCTTCGAATTATGTTAAAATGAGCATCCGAGACACTGAATATTTCTTATGAACGCGTTACTGTGCTGTTACTGTGGATTAAGTTTAGATAATAACTTGAATAATAATTTATAATTTTCGACCAAGATAAACTACGATTTGTATATCTACTGTTATTCAAATACATTGACAAATTTGAAATTTCTTTGATTTATACCATTTTCCATAGACAGCAACGAGTTGCCTCCTCTATCACTTGATTTGTATCCCCTTCATTTCTTTTGTGAAGATACAAAAAGATAAAAACCATGGAACATATCCACAATAAGAGAATTTCAAAGACTTTGAAATGTAATTTCACTTTATGGCTTACTTTAAGAAAAAATCGAGTGGTTCATGCAATTTTTCTAATGTTGACACTATTCCTGAAAATAGCTACTTTGTTTCCGTTTGGCCTTATTCTGTATATCATTTTAAATTTCCCTCCAGTTTGGAACAGGTACGCCCTCTAGATTAACTAAAAACAAGATCAATAAGGGACACCAGTGAAAATTACTTTTTATGTGGTAATATTTCCTCCGTGTTTTTGAAAGTTATACTAGTGTAGGTATTCATCCAGAAAAATTGCCAAAAATATGAATCATCTTCGCCAGAATAAACTTGTTATCACGGAAATAGGAAAGTACAATTCATCGATGAATGTTATTCTTCGTCTCACGTGAAATTAAGAAATTTATATCTGTAATCTGATATCTGGACTACAGAAGTGAAAAATACGTCAAGAATGCCATCTCTAAGTGATTGAAATAACGAAGGAGAAATGAAGTAAGCCATAGCAAATTCATAGATTTGAGTGACGCAAAAAAAAATTTTGAGTGACGCCAGAAAAAAATAAATTTGAGTATTAACAATTTCAATTTTTATTAATGCATTTACTTGAGAAACTAATTATTTTTTCGGCAAAAAGTAATAAATTGAGTCGGATGGATGCTTACTGACCTGTTAAAATTAATTGGGCATCATTAGGTTATCTGTTGGTACACTATGAAGCAACATTACTTTGTTGTGAAAGTCCATTCACGAGCGATTTCACTTTCGAAAAAATATTCTAGCAATTAGCAAAAACCTCTCCTGCTTGCCTAATAAGTACCCAAATTGATAATTACTAATGATATGCATACAAATTGAATGGTAAGGGTGCATGGCAGTGTATGTAGGGGTGTCTCCGTTTCTTTTCTTTGGTGTCTCCATCCTTCACTCTTTTTGTCTGCCTTTTTTATGTCAGTAGATGTTCTTTTATGTCTCTGTGCAAATGAAGGGTACCTTAATGATCTGTTATATATTTTCCCTTGTCCCTTATTCTTATTCACTTTGAATTATTTTCCAAGCCCGATTTCGATTTTTTTATATTTGGTTGTATACATTTATTCGATAGTTATACAAGTTAATGATTACAATACTCTATAAATTTTTCTTTTGTTTTTTGATGACATAACTAATCCAACAACTAATTCAGTGACGGCTCGTGCATTGGAGAACAGGGGAGGCTAAAGTCATAAGATTATATATACACAGAAAAGCCCGCCGGAGGCACGATCATTTTTTGGGGTACCAAAAACCGCTTGAGAAATTAAAAAAATTGTTGATATTTGCTGGTTTTGGGATATCAGAATGTGATTCTTGGAGATAAAGAAGAGGATTGAATCCATAAGGGATATTTTTTATGATTCAAACTTCATATCTTTTAGAAAATGAAGTTCCAAATTCTGTTGATAACTAATTATTTTTGTGAAAAGAACAAATACCTTCGGTTTCGTATTCGAAATGTTGTTTTTTTGTGCTTGAAGGTATATTTATACTTGTTTTAATAATAAATACAGATAAGGGAGTACCATTCAACTGATAACTTCAAAACTTAGTCATTAGTTTTGCATAGCATTTGTGAATAGTTGAGTTAGTGCAAAATCATGTTAGGTGTGGCTTCAGTTCGTTGATTTTTATGTCAGAAAGATATTGCTTCTGTATTTTTCAGTACATCTGCTTCAGACATATTACTTTCGGTAATTTTTTTCTCCCACATTGGATGTTATTTTGATATTTTGTCTCAATATGTCAAAAAATGTAAATCTATATTTTCACATTGAAATGAAAATGTATGTTTTCCTTTTTTGTTTTGTATGGAAACTCTTTGCTGCAATAGAATAAAAAAAAATTATATTAACAGATGAAGTTCGCTCAGCTAATGATTTTTTGAAGAACTATCAAATAGTCAGTCGACAGCCGGTTGGTCCGACGTGGGTGATTTGTTCACTCACTCAATTGACCGCCGTTTTGGTCGGTGGTTCAAGCTGCAGGCTGAACGGTCGATTTTCACATGATATCGTCCAACCCGTGTTAGGAATCAAACGTTAAAAGATAAGACCTCGTTAGTCCTTAGCTCGCACAAGTTTCGACTTCTGAGGGTTGTCGTTCATAGGAATGCGACAGCTGGGTAACGGAAAAACATATTTTAAACATATATTTGACAGTTCTTTGTTCATAATTTAAGAATAAAGATAGGCTCGAATTGAAAAAAATAATGTTTTGGAAAAACCTACTTCTTTATCAGTATTTTGCCTCATTGTGGTTTTTGAATTCGTGGGTACTCTTTGTGAATCTCAGAATATATTGAATTACTTTGGAATACACTCTATACTGCAATACCACTTTTCAATTATTCATGATAATAATTACATATTTTCACTTCTTTCCAATATGCATTTAACTGCAATAGTAGTTTCCATCAGTTACTGGTACATCAAATAGAAAATAGAATAGTTTGATGTACTGTTAACTGATGAAGCTGCAGTGTAGCGAAACGCGTTTTGAATAAAATTTATTGTAAAAATTCTTTTGATTATTATCATGAATAGTGTTATTAATTTTCATCAAGTAAAGAGTGAGAGTATTCATAAATGCATATTAATTTACTATAAAAATATAAAATTCAAATATTAAATTAATGTATGGCTCTTCAGCTTCCTGAAAGTATGTTGCCTGCAAGTAACCGTCGATGGATATCTCTCGAATAATTTCACCATCAATGCTGCTGTTCCCCAGGGATCCATATTGTCTCCAATCCCCTTTTTATTGTATATCAACGACTTATTGGAAAAAATCAAGAATCCAATATATTGCTTTGCTGGCGACAGCACACTTGTCTCGTCATTCCATTTGGATTCCAGGACATCGGCTACGGAGGCACATCTTCACTGGCAGCAGGAGGTTGCATATCTTAATGAGGATCTAGAAGTGATTTCGAATTAGGGTGAAAGTAACCAGGTTCAATTCAATGCCAATGTCAGGTCATACAATTACGCTTTCTGCTTCGATAAGTTTGTTGGGGGTTCAAATGGACACGCAATATGTCTTGGCACAATCATGTCGCTGGAATTGCAAAGGCTGCTTCTCAAAAGTTTGGAACCCTGTTCCGAATCAGAAAACTGTACACACCTCAGCAACTTTTGATGCCTAATGAAGCTCAGATTAGACCTTCTTTGTAGTATTGTTCTCTTGTATGGAGCTTTGCCCCCAAACATACCCTGAAGTTGCTGGATTCCATCTAGAAGAGAGCCATCTGCCTGATTGGAGATGCAAACATCACGTGCAACCTTGATAGTCTGGAACATCAAAGAAAGATTGGAGATTTGTCTCTCTTCTATAGATACTTTCACGGGAGGTGTCCAAATGACTTGGCACATTTGATTTCACCAAGAGCGGTACATATCAGAAATACGCGAGGACTGTGGCTGCTCATCGTTTTGAGGTTCAACTCAGTACACCTCGAACTTCACTGTTTGAGATATCTTTCCTCTGGAGAACTTTGTTTATGTGGAATAAACTTCCTGAGAACGTTTTTCCAAATAGATTTTATCTCCAGCGACTCAAATACAGTGTCAATCGCTACTTTCGCACAGGCACCGCTGTGAGTGCGACTTAAGGATTTTCCCGTAGTGCTTGTGTTTTGTCCCTAAAAAAAGAGGAAGTTAATAAATGTATGTTCAATGTATACAATTTATTGACGTTTTATGTGAATTAGTTGAAATATGGCGTTGTTATCCGTACGAAGTCGAGGCGGCGCGGCGGTGCTACCTGTTCGAAGCCGGGAGACTTTCATCCAAAAACGCTGCCTAATCCCTTTGAAACATAACAATGTATTACTTTCTTCTTCAATATATTTTTTTCTTAGGAGTCATCACAAAAATAAAACTATCGCGCGACAAAATAAATTCAAGCGACACCCGTGGTGGAGAAAAGTTCTAATTGCATAGATTTTGTTTCACGTCGTGAATCACTTTCAAGCTCAAGTTTTGTGTTGTCTCTATAAGAGGATAGATAGATATTCATTTCGAAATTAAATAGGTAATTGTGGTGAACATACTTTTGTTTGTGTACATTTTATCAAAGGTCATTATTATGAGTAACAAGCTGATGCGACAGATCAAAATCAAAATTTCTAGAATAAAATCGTGATTTCCAAGAAACAAACAATAAAAATTTGTAGCCCTTCTGCACTTCCGTATTTTTGTATTCATAAAACTATTTCATAGAAAAACTAATAACTTTCGCGAACTCGGGCTTTTTTATTTCAACTTGTGGTGATTATTACGAGATAGGAGATGGTCATACAGGAAGTATATTTGATAACGGGAAGCGGTTCAACAAATGTCACTCATTGTTTACTTGAAATCCACACTCGACCACGGGTTGCGAGAAGATCGAACGAAGAACGAAAAAATATACGGTGATTTCGAAAACGGGGTCTGGTTTGGCAGTACCTACTCAAACAAAAGAATTATACAGCTGCCTTGATCAGGATCAATGGATTCGCATTACCTACGTATCCTTCAGTAGGTAAAACATCTTCAACAGCTGAACATCGTTGAAAACGCCTCAGTTTACCCTTACCTGTGTGAGAATGTGCCAGTGAATAACAGTGAAATTGTGCTGCCTCGATGCTCGTGTAAAACAGCCTCCCAAACACGTAAATTTGCAGTTTCGATAATTGCATAGTTTATTACCCGTAAAAATTCCATTCTTATTGGCATACCCACACTTGTTGATTGGGTTGATTAAAGTTGCGACTTTCATTCGGATGTACATTGTTTGACAGTGGACTGCTAAATTCTAAAACCAGTCTGAGAAGGCAGGCAAAAGTGGATGACTGGTCTATTCAAAAAACATAAAAGTGCTTTGAGGAAAATAACCTCGAAGATATATTCTTGGTTAAGTATGTATATATGCATATTTTTTTCTAGTAAGACTTTAGGAAATGTTAGGGAGGTTATAGAATAGTATTTTTGAATTGTTTCGAATTTTTATCGGAAATGAAGAGGAGGCACTCCAGCTTTTTAGTTATTTCTTCTTATTTACTAATTGTTTTCTTTGGCAGAGGCGTAGCTATGAATATTTGAAAGGGAGGAGGATTTAAAAAAGACCACTATGATGGGCTCAAAATTTCATCAACTTTCGAGTATATTTTCGTTGTCAAATTTGTGATAGATATTGGTGGGAGATTTAAAATAGATGGTATATACAGAACAAAACCCATGACAGTGTCTTGTCGTAGGTTGTAATCAAAGATTTTCAAGCAACAATTATATTATATTTCTTAATGTCAATACAATAATTGAAGACAAGTGAATTGATAAGAATGTCATTATGGTGTATAATAGATGTTTTTGCCAAATGAGAAAAAAATATGATTCTCCAAAATTATATTATAATTGAGACTATATACTGATAGTTTATATAGTCGAGTTTGTTATTGCTATTTCAAAAACAGCCTATAAAAGAATGGAGATCAAATATTTTCATTTAATATTGAAAATAGTTTTTAAATGGCAGTGAACCTTCCATACTTGAAAAAAATGGTTGAAATCTTCAAGTACGATGTTTGATTTTAAAGTTGAACTACCATACGATCTGAATAAATTTGGAAGTTGATCTCCTGCACAAGAATCATCCCAACCTCACTAGTATGGTCTATTACTTCTCCAATAAAAAAATTTATGAATTCTATTTAACCAAACATAGTCAACACTTAAATATAATTTATAACGTTAAAAGCGGATGGGTCATGCTAAGAATGTATGTTCACACTAAAAATCATGAAACTTTCCTGGACAATTTGGCATAGTTAGGAATAATCATAAATATGAAACCAGACTGATAAATTACCTATAGTGATTATGTGAAGCCACGATATGGGAACGTGTGATTTCTCCTTAATGGTGGTTCATTAGTTAGGGGGGGAGTAACAATACTTGGATGTGGCATATCTTCGGTAGCCAAGGAGTGGGTTCTGATACCCTCCTTTTCTTTCTTTAGCTACACCCTGGTCTAGAATGCTGTCTGTTGGACTGAAGGTTCTCCTTCACGAATGTTAAGGCAGAGGCGTTTCGAGATTTATTATAAGAGGTACTGGCATTTGATTTGATTTTTTCGACAATTCTATAGCCAAAATGTAATAACTAGCTGTGAAAAATTGATGGACTAAATTGTCGTTGGAATAATAATTAAACGAAAAATACAATTTCTCTACTTTTCAATATTAGTTGTTTTTTTCTTATGTTAAGAATCTCTTATGAAATAATTATTTATATTTTTAACTGTATTTATGTAGCTTTCATGATATTATTGATTTAGACATAATATTTTACTCTTTGAAAATATTGCATTAAGAAGACATCTATTGAATTGCCTAGCTAATGCACTCTAATAAGAGATTATTAAAAGAAACATGTTAACATAAAATATCATCGATAATGATAATCATCAGCATAATCACCATAATTATTTGGGAATATGCCAACTCATTACTACTGGTAACGAGAGGGCAATTGACTACCGACACCCGGTAAACTCGTTACCAAAGACAGGCCAACTCATAACATGGCGTGTTCCCTCTATAAAACAATTTTTAGAAGACTAGTTTCAACTGAACTAATTTTAACAAACTGACCATTAGTCCAGCAGGTGGCCAGTGATCAGTTTACCTTCCGCATAAGAGGAACTTGAAAATGACCTGGAATTTTCGGGGTTGAGTTGATGTGCTTATTTATCTCAATGATGATTAACATTGGTGACGAGTTACTGAGAACTCATTTCCATAGAATTCTTTTTAATTTTTCCTGATAACCATTTTGTTATAATGAAAAAAATATTCCTTAACTTCATGAGTTTGGCCATGTTTTCTTTGTACCACAATTCACTATCTCTTATGACTTCTCTATAAGCATTCTGGGAGCTCTTTTCCAATTTTTGTATTATTGTACATTTCATATGGATGAATGAATCATTCAGTACATTAAAACTTTTTTTATTGCATTAATATTGAAGATGATTATGGTTTTGTACTTATACTAAACATTTGGTTCTGTAGATTTTATATCCGCATCAGTAATGATTAATTCCTGATCAATATTATCACTTTTAATGTCTCATTTTCAACCAATAAACCCGAAAACTTTATGCTTTTCACAATTATTGATTATATCAAACTGTTTGATCAAAATATTGATTAATATATATGATGGAATCGGCCGATAATTGATGAAAATTTATAACGTATTCAAGAAACACTTCATTGTGAGATATTCACTAAACAGTTTTTCAAAAACGCAACATGTGTTTCGCTATACAATGGTATCTTCAGGAGTGTCTATACTAACTAATTGAGTCAATATATTAAGGGATCATTTTATATAAGACAGTATACAATATTTCTATTTTTTTGAATCGCCGATGTTCTTTTAAGAATATTTGCATTGATCAATGTATTTTGCAGCGTCGTATTCCTTCCCATACGTCAAGAAACGGATACTGGTTGTATCAAGGCGCATAGTAGAACTGACCCCCATCGAGGTTGCCATCGACGAAATGCAGACGCGCGTTGCGGAGTTGGAAGACGTGGTCTTCACCAAACCGACAGACGCCAAGAAATTACAACTGCGGTTGCAGGGCAGCGTCTGCGTTCAAGTGAATGCTGGCCCTCTGGCGTACGCAAACGTCTTCTTAGATCCAACACTTTCTAGCGTGTATCCCGAAGATAAAGTGGAAGACCTGAAGGATATTTTCAGGTAATATTTTATTGGAATTTTTTTATTAAAAAAAAAATTGGAACATTTCTTTGTTGATATTGACTTCAATTCATCTGTATCTGTAGAGAAGGGAGGGTGAGTGTAGACTCACAGCACTTAGGCCACATGTGACTCATTGTACATCCTCTCGAGGAGTTGTCCTCCTAGGTCATCGTCCATCCTGTCCTTTCCAGGAAGGTGAGCAGGTCACTAGGAGACATCTCCCTAATATTGGCAGGTGTAGGCCAAGATTCGCCGAACACGCACTTTCTTTGGCAACCTTAAGGTGTCTGACGGTGGCTTCCGCGAAGGTCTTGGAAGGTGCAGTGATATTACTGTCATTGCGCTGCTTCTTTAATCTTCTTGGGGTTCCCTCCGTGGAGGTGCACAAGTGAGGAAGCTTTCCTGCATGGGCAGCCGGTTCCTTGCCTTTATTCAAGGCAGAGCTTTTGGCGCCCACCACAGGAAGTGCTTTTGCTGTTGGAGGTGATATGCTATGTATGTCCAGCCTCATTCCAAGCGGTAGATTGGGGTGGACATTTCTGTCCAGCCTCGGGTACGGGGAGATCACTTTGCTCG